TCTTTCCGGATATAATTTTTCTTCTCTCTCTCTCTTTCTTCTTTCCCTATCCCTTTGGCCTCCCTCTCTCGAAACTCACCCTTAATGCGCAACGAACGGGAGACACGATTCGCGTGACCAGCCAAATTACTTAACAATACTTTCTATCCTACTCCCTCCTGCCTTTTACCATCATTTTATTTATTTCCCTCGCCGAGTATCTTCTCTAAGCTTCTGTTTATATATTCTCTCTCTCTCTCTCTCTCTCGCTCACGCTTCCCTCCGCTACACAGCCGCGTCCCGTCTGCTTCGACCGCTTCGAAGCTTTTAGAAGGCATTAGCCGAGACTCACGCCTCGTCGCTCGTAGTCGTAACGCATTAAAAGGAGCTTGTAGCGCCGAGACGCTCGAGACTCCTGAATTTCGCGCTTCGTCCTGTACAAGCAGCTCCTTCAGAATTTTCCTATCCGGCCTCGACTCTCTCGTCCAAATTAAACGTATATATACATTTTACGACGTATATACACTCATCCGTGCTCCATCTCACTCCTTTTCTCTCCTCCCTGGCGCATCTTCCTTTCAGAGATTATTTGCGGCCTGATTTATAGTCATAGCTGCCAGAAACATCCACAGGTAGTAAAGAGGGTCCTACGCGGCGTGAATGTTTATTTTGGTTGATGAGAAGCTCGCGGGTCAAGGCCGAGTCCACACGTAAATTCACTGCTAGGCCAGAGGGAGGACCGAGCGGGCTCCGGCATCGGTGGCACAATCGTTAATTAAGGGGTGAGGCACGGAGCGCAGGGGTCACAAACTACACTCATAAATTTCTGGGGCAAACCTACAAAAAAGAGAAGAAGCCTTCCGACCGAGAGAGCGTCTCTTATGGAAGAACCGAAGGAGCTCGGGAAGGTGAAACGGGGAGGTTGCCGGCGATGACTGCGCGGGTACAGTCTTATCAGGAAATACAAAATAACAGACCGGTGACGTCACGTCAGAAAAAAATCCCCCCCCAAAACTGGATTTAATTGAAAATATTTTTGGAGCAGAAAAAATTTAAACTCAAAAAACAAAATTCTCTCCCGTCGCTCAAAAGCGTCCCGGAAGAGCTCGTGTAATTTGAAAATTTCTGTAGAAAGTTCATATAAAAAATTTTACGAAAATTCTTCAAAAATTTTATACATCCTGTACGAGCCTCGCTGTAAAAAAGTTCGCGATCCCGGGCTCTTGGCGCGGGCTGTACCACGGTGGGCCATGGTTCTATATATAGTTGTGGGACAAACACAGATCCAGTAAAGAGGAGCCTCGGTCCACGGTTACCTATATCCATATCCATATCACGGGGAACGAACGAAACGGAATGGGACGGCACGGGAGATGACACATGGCCGGTGCTTGGCCGGTTAGCTCTTACCGCGAGCCGCCTTCTTCTTCTTCTTCTTCTTCTTCTTCCTTCTCTCGTCTTCAGATATCCTCGGTATACCTATACTCATCTCTAGTTTAGTTCCCCGGTCCCCGCGGCCCTTCCTCGTCGACGCAGCATCATCGCGCGGCATCTCCACCTCTTCCTCTTGTACGGTGCCGCGAGAGCACAGTAGCGGCAAATAGCCATAAATATAAAATATGTCCCTCCTTTCGCCCTTTACGAGCCACACGCACACCCGACCCTCCTCTATCCCCCCTTCGAGAAACCGTGGACCTCAACACCTTTGTGTACGACATTCCTTCCTTCCTTCTTCTTCTTCTTCTTCTTCTTCGTCAGGAACCAGCCCGAGTCTCCCCGAGTACGTGCGATACCCGGACCCCGTGAAACCAATGAAAATATCCGAGCTTACGAAACGTATACAGGAAATCCAGCGCCTAACGGCCGACTCGTGGAACTTATGAGAATTCTATTTTACTACCCATACTGACAATTAACGTTATATATTCGTTATAGGGGTAATGAGGGTCATTTTTAAAGTTTTACAAAATTAATTATTTTATCCTTCGTGATTTTAATGTACCAATAACCTTGGGACTGCCCGCGTGGGATAGTTTGAATTTTAATTAACTCGTTCTCACTCCGGACATTCCTACGTACGATCCGGGGCTCGGAGAATCGGCGCGCGTAAGATAGTCGACTCCTCGAGAAATACGAAGATACGAGAAATCCAGGTGTAAGACAGACGATATCAATAACCGTCGCGTATCGGCATACATGAAAATCCATAGAGTGAGATAAAAAGATAAATCCCACCTCGAATGTGTATATTTCGAAATATAATCCAATTGCCCGTAGATCCTGCTTTAACGTCATATCCTCTGACCGTTACATACTCGACCGGAAGTAGATCCCATAATTAACGCTCGCGCAATATATTTTTAATATACAAATCCCTGTCGACGATTTTTCGTGAAAAAAAAAAAAAAAAATTTTTAAAATACGTACCGATAAAATGTGACAAACTCACGCATCGGCAAACGTCGCCGGCAATCTACATGGTTACCGGCAATTAGAGGCATGAAAGGCGTAAGAAGTCGACGTGGCTGGAAGAAGAAGGTAGCGGGAATAAAACTAGGAATATCCTATGGGAGTGAGTATTCCGCGTGGTTGGCTCGTCGGGATGAGAAGGCAATTTACCAGGTACGGTTAGCAGTGACACGCCTGGTTTTGTTGGCTAGCGAAGGACTATCTGGCAGGCAGTCAGGCACAGTCGGGAGCGAGGCAGATCGGTTCTGGAAGGTGGACGTGGATGGGCGTCCGTGGAGGTGTCGGATCCCGCGGTGGAGACGCGGTGGATGCTCGCCCGGATGCCGGAGACGTGGGAGGTGAGACGAAGGTGGAAACCCGTTCTCATTATTATATTCATATTCGTATCCGAGCGCGAAGGGGCAGCCCTAACGTGTCCGCCTTGAGTGGTATAGATATAGCGGTATAAAAATCTCTATAAAAAGTTGAAAAGTGCCGCCGCCGGAGTTGAGGGGCGACAATGGATGAAATATGCCGCAGAGCTTCCCTCCGATTCCCTCCGATTGCCTCTCGCTCCTACGCTGCCAGCATCTTCTCTCTCGCTGACTCCCTGCCTATACGCGTATGCCTGTACGTATACACGCGTCTCGGGATGAGCCTCGTGGAAGTTTTAGGTGCCGAAGCTCCTTACACCTGCACCTAAACTAAAGTCGGGACACCCTTTGGGTCACCTGTGGACCCGCTGGTCTAACCTATACTGAGGATTTTTTAAAAACGCTGATTACCACACTTCTACGCGGCGATCGGCTGCGGTCGGACAGTCGATTGCTGTGGTTATATCGATACCAGCTTGCGATCGGTCGATCGGCGATCGCAATCCACGTGTACTCGTAATTTTAAATGGCCGCCAGGTACGTAAGCGAATCATCCAATTTTTCGACTGTTTGGGTATACACAAACTGGGTACAGACGGCTCTGAAAACTTTGCAACCTCCTTTATATTATATTAACCTGCACAGGGGGACAGTTCGTTTGGCCCAGGTGTCACGAGGGCCGTTAATTGCAGAGACTATGTTAATTGCAACCCTAATTGGCTACTGGATGCTACCGTTCCAAGCTATACGAAGATGATCGTATAACCAGCATACCGTAGTGGGACGCGCACTAAAGTACATCTATTTATTATAGAACAAGAGAATCACGTGGGATCCATTAGAGGCGGCAGCTGCGTAATTCAAATAACTATATACGTATTGTTAACGAGCTTCCTTGCAAGCTACTAAATTCAGGGCTTAATGTGCATTTACTCGTGTAACTTATTCTCGTCCTTTGTAACGTCTTGGCAGTAAGTAGGCCCTTATCATTACTACCAGTGATATCCAATACCAAAGGAATCTCTAGAATCGACGCGTCTGCCGAGAGGAGCTGTCGAAACGTAAACGAGCAAGATGAACCCAGCACAATAAATGGAAACAGTAGAAACTAATCGGTTAGTCCAGGTGTCCTGCCGGACCTGCAGTGGACCTCTTCCTGAGGACCCCCCGTCGTGTTTCCCGAAACCGCTAATTAGGAGAGGGGCTTTAAACCCGGTTCGCGATCAGGCCCGGAACACCCAGGGTGTCCCTTTTGCACCGGTAGCTAGCCTGTTTTCCACTGACAATGTCCCCGATTATTAGGCCCGCCGGGGGGTCTCGGTGTAACTCGGTCCTTGGTTTCTCTGGCTTTTCCGTCAGTCTCCGCCACCTCGTCGCTCGGTGCCAACTTTTATGTCCGTCCTTCCCTGCCGATCCTTGTTGTTGTTCCCTTTGACCGGCGCATGTACCTATACTTTCCCGTGCAGCGTGCTTACAGACTCGACGAAATGCGATGGCCAAAGATAGAGGAGCGTGGAGAATACTTGAATGGTGGGTTTGGGCTCATTTTACTGGCACTGTTTGCACTCCGGTGCCGACCTCACAATGCTGTGCGGTTTTACTTAATAACGAGACGGCGGAACTTTTTCAACTGTGCCAATGCACAGCAGGGACTTAGTCCGCTATATATATATATATATATATATCCTCCGCTAAGAGTACTGTAAATCATATCTTAACGGAGACATCCGAACTAATTGATCTCGACTCCCACAGTTTCCGATTCCTCTGATTATTCACGCGAAGCTCATCTGGATACGGTAGGTGAGGGGTCGCTGACTCACGGGCACCGTAGGAGCCCCAGCTGCTCTCTCAGGAGCGCGAATGGTCAGTTTGACCTGACCTCATCTCTCGCGGCCCGTTCCCGTTTCTGAGTGACGTCTTCATGTCTGGCTCTGCGGGGCATTCCTACTCCTTATTGTCCCTACGTCCAAGTTCTCGCCTGTCTGCTCGCCCGTCTACTCGTCCGTTTTTCCATCTTGGAATACCGCCGCCCCCCCGCCGATCCGCCAAGAGAAATGACGTATCAATGATTCTACAGAGCTGAGGAATCCACCTACGTTTATATCCCGTAGCGTCAGCCTGTATCCTGAGACACTTCGATTCTAAGTTAAAGCACGTGGAAAATGCCAATGGACGATATTTTGCGTTTCTACGTACCATTTATAGTCACCGAAATACGTCACGTTCTTCTCGGGGATGGTGCCCAGAGCTTTTATTCAGGATAATAATATCACGTTGCCCATGGATATTGCAGTTGTTGTGTATTGTACGCAGGCTCTCTCGAACGAAGCACAGGTTGTGAGATAGGAGAATAATAATACACGAGTAATCCTGAAAGTTCCCTTGATGCAATGTGAAAGAGAGGGCACACGAATCCGAGAGTCAGCGGGATGATTAGCGGGGATGACGTGGCACTAGAGGTAGACGAGGAAACGGTGCTCGGGTCGCTGATGACGATGACGGTGTCCGTAGGTGGAAAAAAGCTTGTGAGAATGGCGACGAATTGATAAATAGCTGGACAAAGGAGGACGAGAGTACACGGCTACTGGCGGTTCTCTTAATTGGCGACAATTAACCTAACAAGCACGCCAGGACCGCGACAAACCGCAGACATTTCTCTACACGTGTCGTGGTCTTTCATTGGGCGTGATCGGCGACGAACTGCATCTGTTATAATAGTTTATAATCGTCGAAGCACTGCCGGAGTCAAGACCCTATCCGTTTGTACAGTGTCCGACGGTCGCACGTAAAAAATTCTGACGAAACTTATTGACTCGAATTACTACGCTAGTCGAAGACGATTTCTAAGTCGCTATGATTATCGATAGAAAATATTTTTCACGCTGGAAGAAATGACTGTTGACTTTTATTTATACGCGTATACGTACATGGCTCGTGTGCCGTTTCGAAAGTTAAGAATTTTTGCCTGCATCTACATGATACAAGCGGCTGCCGGAGTGACCTTTTCGCTGCCTAATTCATTTCGAATGACTCGTGAAGCTACCGTAACGATTAATGGAGAGATTAATGGGCGCAGGTCTGCCAACCCAAATTGAATCTCTCTTTCTCTCACCCTCTCTGACCCTCTCGTAGCCTGAGCTCTCCCTGGTGAAAGGGATGCTGGTGCCATCGGGATGACGGGTGGGCGTGCCTCTCCAACCTCCAAACTTAAACGATAGTAATTTGAGCCCTTGCTACTTTACTTCTTACTTTTCACTTTCATCTACCGACTTTTCCCGCCACCTCGGCAAATCGGGACACGGCACTCTTATTTGTTATGAACATTTTCACTCGGTAGACTCTAATCAAGATTTGTATTATTTTACTAGCACACGGAGTTATATTATTTGATTTCACTGGTACAACCAACTTCAGGTGATACGATTCTACTAATAACCCTATACACGAAAGTATTAAGCGAAGAAAAAAGGACGTCCGCAATAAGAGCTATCAAAGTTCTACTATAAACAGTATCCTACAGTCAATAGATATCAGAAATATCTTAAAACTTATGACAAGTAAAAATATTATTTCCGATATTAAATAAGAGTAACAGAAGCACGTAAATATTTATTATTGAAATATTATTTCATTGAAAATTTAATACGTCATTATGGGTGTGTTCCAAAATTTACTGACAGTTTGCGAAAGCAATTATCGTCTCTCTCGGATACATGCATACGAATAAGGAGAGAGCGTTGGTTGCAGCACTGGCAGTAAGTTTCGGAACATACTCTTACATTATGTCAAAAAGACTCACCCTTATGTAACGACGGAAGTCATTCGAGATCCGGCAGCTAAAACCTTCCGTCGTCTTAGCCGGATTCTAGATGCGTACACAAGTCATGGCAGCTTCCATCACAACAAAGATCCGCGTTTCACAACCGGCAATAATCACTCGCGAATCACTTCCAACGACATACGCGTCTGTTACTCCAGCTGACTGACTAGAGCGACTCGAAGCCCGCGAAGCATCTACGGGAATGAGGATACGATGTATACGCGAGTGAGAAGGAACTATCGGTAGACAAGTACGGACAAGATATGTTAACAAAGGGCTAAAGTAAGGTTAAGGATTCGACGCAGCTAATGGCAGGAATGACGAACCCGAAGGTTACGTCGAAGGCAGTGTAGGATATGAAGGAGAAGGAGGAAAAACGTGGTCAGGAGAAGAGGACGATTCACGTAAGGTAAGACGAGCAAACGGCAGCTGCAGCAAACCCGAAATCGGGACGGCGGCTCGCTCGGTGCGACGAGCAGATCCCTAGAATGTGTTTCCTGGTAGCGCCGCCGCTAGGCGCTGCGATCGTCTCTGGATAGTCTCTCTCATCCCCACCGATATCCCTTCTCGGATGAAATTTCCGAGCGCAGCCTCCGAATGGACCAAAATGGCCGGTCTCCTTCATCGGGATTGGTTGGTTCAGGCGCGAATGGGCTGGCCTAACCACCACCGGTTACCTCAAAAACAAACCACCCTCCTTTATGATATAGTAGGGGGGACCCTATTCCTCTTGGTATAACCCTCCTTTTTTTTTATTCTCCTTTTTAGCCTCCTTCATACGTACACGTTCCCATATCGCGTCTAATGTACTATTCCCGAAGCGTAATGTTACGTGCGTCTCTCTCTTTCATATACTACATGTTTTTACCTATACCCATTCTTTGTTATATATCCACGTACATACGTATATCACATACGCAAGTATCATGCTATATCGTCTCCTTGTAATTTCTCTCCGGTTGTCCAAAACTACCCACTACTATTCAACGGGTTAATTGCTCTGTGTATTTTTACCTTTTATCCGAGTCAATCTGCCCGAAATGCCTGAAATAGTGTTCAGCTCAAAAGGTCGTAAAAGGTGAATCAAATTCCGAGTAACGCACGTCGTGTAGTTTATTCTCGTTAGGGAATATGTTGATTTTCTTGGTAATATTAGCGTGTCAACCGGAGACCGAGATCAGTTTGCTTTTGTGAAGGGATCCGTACCAATTGATGAATACGATTCTTCGTGTCCTGATGTTTTGATATACGTGAACATAACAGAACCCTACAGGGTCCTTTGGCTCTTCTGTCTGTCTGTCTGTCCGTTCATCCGTCTGTCAGGGAATGTTGTTTGTTTGCGTTACCCTGACCCAGCTAGTACCAGCCTGTAGCTACCTATCTCGTGTTCCTTTTTATAGAAGACCTATACTCTACGACACTCTCTACAATTTCACTCTGAGCCCCTTTGCTTATTTAATTTACACATCTTACGTTACTTCTGTGTACCTCGGGTACTAGGCAGTCGTTTGCAAAATGAATATCCCAATTTAATCACTGGGATATAGACACATTTATGAGCTTTATTGTATCTGGATACTTATTGTTTAATTATAAATGAATTTTAATAAGTCAATAAAGAGATATAAAAAAAACTTAATGGTAATGTAAATGAGTCAATACACAATTTTGACTGTCTGAGAATGACAGGGTGATCCGGCGTGACTCTGATGCTGCTTTTCTTCAAAGTATCGGGGTTCGGGCACGGTGCGAATTGTCATAGTAAAAATCTGTATACAATGGTACACGAACGAATGAGGTGAGACGCGCGAGAGTAGCAGGATGTAGCTGGTGATGTAGGTGCGGAGCCAGAGACGGGCTGCAGAAGCTAATCCGACGGGCGAGTGTTTGACAGAATAATTTTCACGTTAGCGGGGAGCATTATACGCCTTTATGTTGGGCGGGGGGCTCGCGCATTGTCGCCAATAAGCCGTATCCCACACGGTGCTTTTGTGTGAATGGGGCTTGCTGCCCGTACCGCTGCGACACAACACGCGCACGTAGAAAAGCTTCGAGCTCACCCCTCGACACCCTGGACACCCTCCGGAGTCCAACTGAGGATTCCATCCTGACATCCCGTTCCTATTCCCATAGAGTCCGTATGTGCACTACCGTGTATTGTACTTTACACAGTGGAGGAAGCCGACGTTGACGACGTCTTGGTAACGTTTGCCTGACCTTTGACAGAAAACTAGAGAATCAGAGGACAGAGTTAGTGCCTAACCTCTTGACACTGGATACTCTCAATTTTCCTCAAAGGGTTCTTGCCCTCGAGGAAAAATATAAAAAAAGGCACTGCACTACTCCTGTCTTATATGGTCCTGGAATTCTTTTTACAAAAATTCCATGGCTACGGGGCGATCGGTTTTTTAAGGGATAAGGCCTCTGGCGAGTCAGTCAGATTGGAAATTGGGACCATGGGTCCTATGGGGTCTGTCACTCGACACCAAATCGGACAGAATCTGTCAAAAAAGTGTCAACGTTTACAATGGCCCAGGCAAAGTGGGCATGCACGCTAGTTGGGTCCTACGCCTACGCTCGACACCTCTTAGTCCAATAAAATAAAATACCCTGAGGAATGTGCTTCAAAGAGGGGACCCCAAGATGGAAGAAGTCCATCGAGTCTTCGCTCCTGAACATATGGTTTTTGTTTCTATCACCTTGCAATCCACACACGCCGTTATGGACGCCATAAGCGACACCAGGGACCCGACGCGACTGGTTAATAACCGGCTACCCACCGAGCATTAATAAAGATTAGTCTCCCTTCGAATCTTCCGCCAAAACGACCGAGAACCAGAAGCTGAAGTAGAGGTAGAACTTGGTGTGAAGATGACAGGAGGAGAGGAGGAGATAAAGAGACTTGGAGGTTCGCGTGCGCCAATTAATTAACCCTCTGTCATTTTATTTCGTCTTGGATGTTTTTCAGTTTTCCTAACTTCTCTCGGACCCGCACGTCATATGACTCTCTCTGCTTTACCGACGGTGGTCGATAACTCTTTTTAACGCTTCAGCGACCCGATCGGTCTAGCGTGTCTAAATTGATATTACTATGGTATCGTCGCGCACTGTATTTTATTATACGTATATTAAATTATTTATCGTCTACATTCTGTCTCTTCCTTTTTTTATCTTTATATTACAAGCAGTGCATCTCATGCTGCGGCTAAAGAGAATATATTCATAAAAACCAGTAATCGCTATTGCTAAAAAAACACATTAAATAATTTTATTTGTGTATATTTTTAGTGAATCCCAGAAATTTGTTCTCAAGTAATGTTAAATTTGTCTTAATTTTATCTCATGAGATTTTCAGGTCCATAGTCTTAGAATTATCGCCAGGAAGTGATTCGGCGAAAATGTCAAGGCTGCTGATAGGGATCGACCAGTCTTCCAGGTGTTTAAGGGTTTGTTTGCTTTCGAGATCGGGAAACGGATATATAATCTAGTCAATTTGACACCCTCATCAGCCCCTAATGGCTGCTTTCAGCCTTTGACAGAGCATTCAGTTGGGTGGTCAGTGAAAAAAATCCCACTAGCCAACTCACTGGACCCTCAGATTTCTATATCCCGCTATATTCAATATTCACTTCGTCATTGATGATCTTTAATATCATCCTTTTCTGTAATTTTATTTTTCTCTACTGCATCTAGCGGTACCTCCGCGTACTTTTTTCTTGGTAAAAACCTGAAATTAAATATGTATTAATACACAATATTCATGATTCTTTTTAAAAAAAAAGAATAATAAAAACTTACTTTCTAATGAGAGGTGCAAAGTGATCAGGATCAACATCCTTGAGATCACGAGGACCAAGAACAAAACTAGCAAGTGTACCGACCAGAATTGTTATGAAGGCTCCCAGTATTGTATAATGCATGAATGAAATTCTGTATAAAGGAAACACATCTTCTTCCTCCGGATGATACGAAGATGCCATAACAGTAGAATTGACTAGTAACGATTGATCACAGCCTTCAGTAGACAGTGGTAGTGTTTTATATGAAAACTTTCCTTTAAACATATTCCACTGAGCACCTACGATAATCCAAGTCATCAGTGACAAGGAAGTAATACCACCAACAACAGCACCCTTTGTCGTACACCACGGAACCGATAGTCCCAGAAGGAACAGTCCCAAAAGTGGTCCCGCTGTTATTCCACCAAGACTGTGGGATACTTGAAAAATATCACCCAGTTGGGTAACAACGAAGACCATTGTCATGCACAGGATACCCAAAATTACAACCGTTATCTAAAACAAAATGCTTGTAACGTTTGCACCCGAATTCTTTGTTACTGCAGAGAATTCTATGCTCTGGATACTTACTTTCATAATAGTAGCTGCCCGAGCTTCCTTATCATTACTCTCTGGCATCCAAGGATCAATAAAATCCTCGTAAATCGTTCCAGTAACAGTATTAAGACTAGCACTCATAGTGGACAATCCGGCGCTCACCAATCCTGCCAGGAACAATCCTGGAAGTCCTGGTATCTTACCAGCCACGTCAATCACGTAGTAAGGTAGAATTTGGTCGGATCTTGAAATCATCTGTGTACAAGATAATCGTACTAATCAATGTAAACGTTAAAAAAAATTATCAAAAAACCAAGGTATCGTTTAGAAACTTACTTTGGAAGTAATAGGGTCACAATCCTTATATTTGGAGTACATGATAAGTCCAGTGGACATGGATATCATTTTAATTAAAATATTTCCCACAGCCATTATCACCAGTGCTCTAAAATTTCATTTTTCTTTAAATTTACCTACGCTATACATTACCAGTAATAGAAAATGTATTACTAGTACTGACTTTCTAGCATCTCCAATCGAAGGGACTGCAAGAAATCTCTGAATGCTCCCTTGACTCACGCCATATTCTGAAACCCAGCTTGCCAACGCGCCTATAGACATACACCAAAAAGTATTCCTAGTGAAGGGACTGGGGTCCATGCTACAATAACAAAAAAAAAAATTAATAATTTTTTAATATCACATGAATGAAGATATGATAACTTAAAACACTCACTTAAAAAATATCAATCTTCCACCCTCGTCTGCAGCTTGCCAAGTTTTTTCAAAACCACCAACAGCAGTAATACCCAATATCAAAACTGCAATCAGTCCTCCAATGGTCACAATCAGTTGTATGGTATCAGTCCATACAACGGCTTTGAGACCACCCTGTAAATTATAAGATGTATGAGCTGCTTAAGACTATCATATAAGTAATAATGGTAAAACAAATTGGTAAAACTCACCACCGTCGTATAAAAAATACAAACGATACATATGACTGGCGTCACTACGTGAATATCAAAAGTGGTAGCTTGCGCAAATGCCAAAGCTGGTACATAGACTACCAGTGGGATATACGTAATTAAAGCAATAGAATATAATGTAGACGCAAGCACTCTAACGGGTCTGGCAAATCTCAATTCTAAATATTCAAAGGTGCTTGTCAATTGTAGCTTGTAGAATACTGGAAGACAAAAGTAGCCCACTACGATGCAGGTAGTTATTGATGTTATAATACAGACAGAGTATTGCGTTCCATGTTGATAAACTTCCACAGGGACGCCCAGCAAGGATATTCCAGAGATGTGACTACAAGTGAAAAAAAAAATTAAATTATCATTACTATTATACAAAAGGTATACACATAATATGATATTGAAGAATTTTTCGAGGCTTCTTAAATTTTCCAAAGTCATGTTATCAACCGATATATTCTAGGTGCAATAAATTTTGTCACTATTATCAAGTTAAGTTTGCTTGCCTTGCAATGAGACTCATGGCGACGGGAAAGAAGGACATCGTTTTACCACCAAGTAAGTATTCGGTGGTATTGTCTTGCTTTTTACTGCAGAATCCAAAATAAATACCAATCATAAGACTGACGCCCAAAAGTAGACCGAAAAGAACGTAATCCGACCATCCGAATGATAAATTTCTAAGATGTTGCACCGTTACGTTTGCCTCCATTCTTAAGACTGTTTTCCAATCAGTTTGATAAGTTTTGTCAGATGCGCTCCTTTAAAAACAGCAGGAGTGCCATTCGTAAGCTCGACTAGAAGGAAACTGAGAACTTTCCCATGCAATTTTTCAGCTTTATGCTTCTGTAAGAGCGTCAGTCATACTTCTTTGATTTACAAGCGTAGAGATAAGTATTTCAGACTCTGGAAAAACTTTCCTTATAGTATAGTATAATATGCGTTATTTTATCGCTCAATATGATATACACGTATATTTATCATAGTCTATAAAAAGAAAATTTAGCGCATAGTTATCTAAGTGTATCTCACTATAGAGTATAAATATTTTCTAGCGTCCTCCTCTTGCTAAATAAACAGTCAATAAGAGAAGACCAATCGGTGCAATCCGTTAATCTCACTGCAGACAATATTTCTTAGGATTATGGTACATGCGCATGTTTGTATACAACTCATCTTAGCGTTGAGATAATGTTTAGAAACAATAGCAAGCACGGGCTGAAGATTCTCTATTTTTTGTCACGCTCACGCATTATCGCCTGGATGAAGGTGCATTAGCCGAGAGAGATTAGTCTTAGCCTAACTTAGAATTGTTACTAATCTTCACCTCAGAGGCGAAGACAATGACTAGAAACAGGTAAAAGGTAAGGTCAATCGATCACCTGCTGGCTACGATTTCGATTGGATTTTCAAAGTAACAATGGAACCGAAAAGGGTCACACCGAAAGTATTAAGTGACTAACGGTTATTGGAAGAGGTCACAAATCATTGAGTCCTTGAAGAATTACGCGGAAGCCACCGCAAGCTAATAATACCTCTTCTGTGTCTAGACAATAATAACAGTAACGCCTTTGAACGAGGATGTAAGAGAATATAACTTTATTGCACTTGGATCCAGTACAATATCTACTTCGCATTAATTATGATGAGTTGGGTCCGTACAGCAGCCATTCCGTCAATTTTCGCATCTCTTCTTGCTTCTCAGATTCGCTTACGTCGCCAATTAGATCGTCTAGGATCTTCTTCTCATCCTCTTCCATATCATCCGTAGCATTCAATGCGGCAATAACCATACTTGGTAGGACGACGTCGTAATATAGAAATATCTAGAAAAAGATCTAATCAATCTTTGAATTCACAATGAATAATGAAATTAAGTTCTTCGTGGGATTTTGTATATATACAGCCCTGAGCTTTTATCTCAGCTCAAATATTATCAAAAGCCGATTAAATATACTACGCATATTCGTAATATCGGAAAATCAAACAGACCGTTGTACAAACATATTTTGATTGACAAAGCTTATTATTCTTTCAAACATCGTCGCTTCTTTGGTGATATCATGTCATCCGCACTGACACCTAATCAGTTGTAAATTTCTGACAAATGACTTTGGTGTAATGGGTGTACCAAAGATGCTCATATTATGAATAGTATATGATATTGTCTTTATGATCTTACCTTATTCTGAAAGGTGTTATATACAAGACAGGGACTTGAACTACCGGCAGAGACACTGTACTGGCCGGTACAGAACGCACGGACAGGTTCCTCGAATTGAAATCTAACGCTGTTCCTCTTCTGATCCAAAATGTAAGTCTGTCCGTCCCAGGTGCACGCGACTATTTCATCAGTACCGTCACCAGTAACGTCTAGGCGACATAGTGCAAATATCTGATGGTCAACTTGCATAGCCCTGTGTGATTAGCGGATTTCAATAAATATCTGAGTAGAGTCACCAACCATTTTGAATACTTACCAAAGAATAATTTCATCTTTAACCAACATTATGGTGCCGTCCAACGTTGCCAGAGCGTAGGGCTTACCGTTTTTTCTCTCTTGATCATCAGCAGCATCTTCTTCGTTCTCTTCCTTATTTTTTGATTTCTCGTCATTGTTATTGTCGTGAGTAAAACTTTCATACGAGGGAAGGAAGGACTTCTTTTCCGGTTTATTTTCAATTTCCCCAAGGATAACGTTGCCGCCAACAAAGTTTCCGTCAATCTGATCAACGTCCGTGGAACCTATTCTGTTATGGAAGCGGATCTCTGTAGTTTGACTGAGGAACTCTCTTTTACGGAACTGACTGTTAGCGTCAAGACTACTTTTGCGCATTTCCGGTTGTGAGTAATTGCGTCGAAATTCAAGGGATGAGGGTTTAAATGCTTTAGGATGGAGTTGAGTATCGTCCAGAAAACCTTGCTTGGATAATGTATTCTTTGGCATGTACTTTATAGTCATTTCGCACTCAAGTGGCGAAACAAAGACATCACTACCCGGTTCCAGGTCGCCGATTATCTCTGTTGAGATGTTTGGATTCCTCATCCTCGAGATTCCCAGTGTCTCATAATCCACGCAACTCGCTGCCGCCTCGCTGTTTGTCTCTGCCGAGTCGTCATCGCCTACTCGGCAATCTTCGGCATTGCATTTTATTCTCATAAATGTGCCACCTGGCTGAGCCACCAGTAGTGTCGGTGTACCATCTCGGCTATGCTAAGAAATAACGTAAACCCTAAACCATAGCTAGTCTACGATTCAATATATAATAAATAATTCGACGCTTTTCTGCACTTTATTTACCTGCAAAGTCACTGTTCCTATCTGATCAGCGCATTCCCATTTGTTCAGACCCACCAACTTGCCAGTGCCTAATTCTGCATTGCTAGACCATCTATAGGAACGTACTACACGATCGGTTAAACCCAGAATCATTTCATTAGCACCATCTTCATCTACATCGGCTATGAGTACGACTTTGGTATTAGTTGGGATTCTCTGAACGTGGACACATTCCATTTTCCCTGAGAACTCGTTTCCGGTCTCACTAGAATTTTCCAATTGATCTGAATTCATTGAATTCGTCATACCTGTTCCCATGTCTACACTGGTTTGTCCTAAATCATTTAATAATTTTTAAAGGAATAGTAAACTGTATGCTTAAAGTTAAGCATCACACGGATTATAGTTCTAAGTTAAGAGACATACCAGTATTGAGATTTATATCTGGGCTAGTGGATTCTTTAAGAACTTGTGACTGATGTACGGCCATTGCATTAGAATTGATAGGTGGAGGATTGACAGGCCGTGGACTATAAAAAATATGAGCCCATCCATCACCACAAATAATCACAAGAGCATTACGACCATAATTAAAAATATCTCCTATTGCCACACTAGTTATGAGACCCAACCCATTAATCTTTTGCCAAAGTTCCGATCCCTGTGAATCATATAGAATTAGTTTAATATTTCCTATTGTTAATTGATAAGTATGAAATAAGAATAAATACTTTGAATATGTAGAGTTCGCCTTCTGCAGTACCGACCACGAGTTCGTTATCTCCATCATTGTCTACATCACCTATCGTTAAGCCATGTCTACAGACAGTACCAGGAAGATCCCACTGTAAACGTTTAACAAAGCTGACAGCCCGCATTTTATGAAGTAGCTGGAATCGTTGCAATATTCAATGGCATTCGATTGTCTGGAAGGGAAGCATCTAAATATTGCCACCGTTTTGGTGGCCACACTACACAGGTAGCTTTAGCAGTGATTAGACCCAGAGAAATTGGCCCAAATGTATTAGAGTCCATGGAATGTCCTGTATGATCTCCTTCTAGCCAGCAGTGGCCATCGGGAATCTGTAATAAATGCAAATAAAAATATGTAATATTATATCACGTCTTAATATTATCTGCTAATTCTTTATTAACCTGAAGGATCTCCGACTTGTACCCCAAAGTGCCTATAACATCACCAGAAAGTCCAACCACTCGTTTTATAAGCTTTTGATTAGGGTGCTTTGGAGAAATAAAAGATACAATATCACCCCGTTGAATCTCGTAATTTCGAATAGACCAACGATTTAAAAAGACATAATCTGTTTGCGTCTTGTCAGGATTTAAAGCTGGTTGCATCGATATTCCCTCTACGCGAGCAACATACCCAACAGTATCCAAAAAGGTGACCCCTATAGGGATGCCTATAAGGATGTTTCGAAGAAGAGGTGACACTCCCATGAAACCTATCGTATACTCAGAATCTGTAACAAATTATATTTCATTATTAGTGGCTGATCTGTTGTACCATTATCATGTTTAGTAATGCCTAAGTAGAATAGTTTACATGCACAAAGTTTAAAACAGACTCACTTAACAAAGTAGGTTACATTTTGTAAAGAGGAAAATTTCTAGGAAGATTACATACACGTGGAGTATTAAGGGTTCTAATGGGTGGAGATTTTGATAATAAAGGATTCACTTATAAATTTAAATTTTCAAAATCGATTTGATAGAGCCAAACATTGTGGGATGCATACAATACCCCAAAACAGCAATTAGCTGCAGAAATAATTATTTACTGTATAAAAGGATACTTATATAGGTCTACACATAGCCCATCTAACATCTCATATATGAAATATTTCTAGTAAAATAAATGGCTCTTAATTATACCTGCTGTGAATAAATCATTTCCTGGACCAGCAGATGGTATCAGAATCTAGGAGTGACGATCAGTGACTACTGTCTAAAAATTAAATTTCTGGTTGCCTTACGGCAGGCGCGTTTATTATGATGTGGCTTGAACGAGATTATCAATTTTTTGTACATATTTTTAAGAGTGTTTTAGTACATACACTAAACGTTAGATGGCGAAATATTTGTGCGTCATAACCTGAATTGTGTGTAGTTGGTGCAGGTCGATCTGATTTTAAAATAACGTGAAAACTACAACCTTTTTTTCACCTTACTTATATATTTACGATATCTTAACAGATATTTAGAAAGTCTATAATTTCAGTGTTCACATATTCATTATAAATCGAAAATGACAGCTCGTGAAATACTTAGTTTTCAATTTGGGCATTACTCCAATTTTATTGGAACACATTGGTGGAACATTCAGGTAAACAATCATATTGTTTTAGAAACTCTACATTTACTTAAGTTTTAAAAGGATTTTGTAATTTTAATGTAAAAGTGTAAATTATTATGAGAATTAAAATTTGTTTAGGAATCAAATTTTTCATATGACCAAGACCATCCCTCGGATATAAACCATGATGTCTTATACAGACAAGGAGAAACACAGAGAGTACGTGTAACTTAACTCACTGTATGATATGTTAGGAATCACAAATGTACAGTATTCTTCCAGAAAGAAGTAACATTTACCCCTAGGTTACTTGCTGTGGATTTAAAAGGAACTCTCGGCTATCTGAGTGAGCAAGGAAACTTATATGAGGAATGTGACTCTGAAGAGTCTAATTCTCTATGGGAAAACAAGGATCTAGAAGTAGTGACAGAACCTGCACCAGCGAAGAGTCCATTTATTCAAAGTCTAGAAGCAAATGCAGGAGAATCTGCAAGAAAATTTGATTTGGAAAGTGAAGTGAACAGTTGGGTAGACTACTTAGTACCTAGATTCCATCCAAGAACGATAAACATTCTCAAACAGTACAAACATGCATGCACCTCCCAACCATTCGATATATTTAATTATGGATTGAATATATGGAAAAATGCACAGTATTCCGAAGACTTCTGCGACAAGATAAGATCCTACGTTGAAGAGTGTGATATGATGCAAGGGTTCCACGTTATCTTAGACTCCACTGATGGATTTGCAGGTTTCGGAGCAGCCTGCATACAGTATCTACGTGATGAATATGGCAAAAGCATACTGTCATTTCCAGCAATTGATGGAAAAAGTTCAGAACCCTCAGCAGCGAATCTTATCAAAGTTGTAAACACAGCCTTATGCTGGCAGAGCATTGGAGAACACTCTTCGTTATTTAGCCCTTTATGTGCAGGGACAAGTGGGTGGTTACCAAGTGATGTTCCTCGAGAATTCGCGAATCTAACATACAATCGCGATTTAAAGTATCATAGCAGTGCATTGTTGGCTACTGCACTAGATACGGTAACTCTTCGATATAGAAACAAAGCATATCCTGCATCGGCACTTTCAGATCTTTGTGCAGATCTAAATAAACTGGGTCGCAAAGCTGCTGCAATAAGTCTAAGCCTCCCATTCCCCATGACAGTAAAAAGAGACTTGATTGACATTCTTGACGACTTCGATGGATCTCCCTGGACAAGTTTAACACCTAGTTGCGAAATAACCACAGATAAAAACATGCAAAGCATTGTACTAAGAGGAGTACTTGAGGAGAGATTAAAAAGACCACTTCATGATGCTAGAAAACAAATGGCCAAACCTGCGTATCGTTGTTCTACTGTTCATGAAATGATGACTATGTATCTAGCTTATTCATGTCATGCTTCGGCCACTCATTTGACAGTTATCAATGAGCCATTGAAAATAAAAAATCCATTTCCTAAGATTTTCAACAATAACGTTCACGCAAATGGTGATATCGCTGCCTGGCCTGTAGGCGAAGGTTAGAATATCTTTTCATTGGTATTTTTTAAAAGATTTATCACTTCTAACGTTAATTGAGGATAATAACTTATAATTTTCTTTTTACAGATGTTAAATCTGTTCCTGTGATGGCTGGACTTCACAGTGGCGAAGGACTCTCCAAAATGTTTAGTTCTCTTCACGATCAAGCAATGAAAGTTAAGAGTATTAAGAAGTTTCACGCTTTTCAAGATTCTGGTTTAGAACAGGACGAATACGCAGAATGTCTCAATTATTTGTTAGATTGTAAAGAAGCATACGAGGATCATTATGTATGATATTACGAAAGTAATAGTTTCTGTGATAACCCATTGCAAACCATTCGAAAAATTTAATTAAAATCTATGATTGAATTGACTGATTTTTGTTTGATACCAATAAAATAGTTAATCGATTTAAACTTGCTAAAGTAAATTCTCCTTTGTATAAATTAAAAAATTCAATATTTGCCTAATTTAAGAATGCGTTTGGATGGTTTTTTTTTTGTGGAGAAAATCTACGGCCCTGATAATGGGAGTGCCAGACACACCCTTATTAAGTACTACTGTGTATTGAGTGTAAGGGAGTGAATTCAGTGAAGCTTTTCTCATCATTCAGTAAGCACGGAAGTTCGCAAAAGCTAGCTCAATCATCCTGTGACTGTTATTTGTTAAATTTAGTCATTACTGAATCTTAGAATCAGTGGTATAAAATTAGAAGTGACTTGGTAACGGTTTGCCCGTCACTGTCAGACGTGAGGAAACTCCAATCGAAAGTTACAAGAGTGATATTCACATGGGTAATACAGTGCCTACATTTTCCGAGGAGCAACTCGAGGATTATCAAGATTGTACTTTCTTTACGCGCAAAGAGATTCTTAGGTACTTGAGTATGTTCACTGGGCCGTCTTAATTGTTTTACTCAAACTAAAAAAAAATGTAATGATATTCATTAGAATCTATAAACGTTTTCGCGAGATGGGAGAACCAGGAATGGTACCACACAGTATGACACCACAGGAAGCCGCAAATTTACGTTTACCATTATCGTGCTTGGCTCGATTACCAGAACTGAAGGTACTAGTGTATAAAGTTGTACTACGTAAACGCCTAGAAAATGATTAAAAAATTAATCTACAGAATTATAATAAAATAAGAACGTCACGAACCCATTTTTCTTCTCAGGAAAATCCATTCAGAGAAAGAATATCTGAAGTCTTTACAAAGTACAGAGACCCGGGTCTCCCGAGCGACGAGGGAATCTGTTTTGAGGAATTCTTGGAGATGATGTCGGTATTTTCCGAGCAGGCACCTCGTGATCTTAAAGTATTCTACGCCTTCAAGATTTATGGTATGCTTTTTACCTATTTTTGGATTATGAAGTTCTTCTAAAGTCTTAGATACTTCTATTTCCTATAATGTAAAGACTTCGACGAGGATGGCGTTTTGGGCTTTGGCGACCTGGAGCGCACTTGCAAGCAGCTAGTGCAAGGAGGACTCACAGCAGAGGAGGTTGCCACAGTTTGTAGAAAAGTTCTGGAAGAGAGTGACGTGGATGGTGATGGTGCTCTGTCCTACCTAGAATTCGAACATGTCATCACCAGAGCTTCTGACTTCCTAGCCACGTTTCACATCCGTATTTAAAATGAATCAGTAGCGCCCAACCTGTAGTAATTTAATAATGACACCTGCCTTTTAATCTTGCCAAGCCCAAGTGGATCCCTTATATGTGAATCTCTGAAACGTTTAAATAAGAGTTAGTCAGAATAGTAGGGTCGCAAGACGTAGGCTAAATTTAAAAAGGCTAATAAGTATTTATTCCACGAGATGAATTGCGTGCACTCGCGAAGATCCCCACAAACGAGGGAACTGGTTCCGCATTAAATATGACGCATAGGTACCGACCCAGAACTAACAGTTCTTTGACCTATGGACTGGTTTCACGGTGTCTCTCGTAAGAGACACTAATTTATCGTTCGAATTCAACTAAATTGGAGTAAGACAACAATTTACATAAATATCTGCCCACGTCAGAGACTTGCGTCTCTAAGGCACTAACTGCTATGATATTTTTCGAGCTCGCGATCCAAAAGGAGACTCTGTAACGGGTAAGAAGAACGAGGGACGGGAAGAGAAAGAGAAAGAAAGAATATAAGAGGGAGTTCGTTTCCATTGAAAACCTTTTCAGTATCGAATGACTTGCCATTTTACAAACCCGTTACGGATCTGTCGAAGCCATATCGAAACCTTCTAAGACCTGAGGGAACACCGGGAATTCAAATCCCATTACTCTGTCAGTAAATTTTGAATAAACGTCGACAAGAATATGAAGCATCAAACAAGTTACTGCATCAGATTATTATTGAGATCATGTTAAATCAGCATGCATGGGAGAAGGAATGGCCATCGGCGATAAATGAGTCCGGGAGGAGAGTGAAAAGGATTCAAGGATCTAAGGATTAAGATCTACTCGCGAATTTCATATGGGAGATGGAATAGCAGAGTGGGATGGCATGGTGCGGAGGGAGGAAAGGAGAGGCGAGGTAAGTGGGGGTTCCTGGGAGCTGGTCTTACATTAAAAAGTGGTCGAAATCGGCGTTAGGCCCTTCTAGCCCGAGAGAGCAAGAGAATGGGAGAATGAGAGAATCTTGTGATTATAGTCGAGTACGCGGTAACTAACCAAGTCTCGAGACCAAGGCCATCCGGTTACTTGTCCCAGCCGACTCCGTGTTCAATCCCCTCTCGGTGTTTCTCGAGACTTCGGCGCGGCTCCTCACGAGTTCTACCGTCGTATCGTACCGCGGTAACGCGGTGCCGTAGTGCTACGGTCTTCCCAGTCTTCCCAGACCAGCATTCTTGAGCCCCGAGGCCTCTCTTGATGCGGCGCGGCAGGGAGGGCCCTGGCACAGCAAGATGAGAAGTCAGAAGAAGAATGAGACGGCAAAGATCAGCCCCACCACGTGGAGGGGGATTTTAAGCCAACTTTTACGGGCGAGCGTGGGCGACAGGGAACCGGCACGATTCTTGGACCCAGCCTCTCGAAGCTTCTTGGCCTCTGGGACTTGGGCTCTGGACTCTGGTTGCCCATTCTATTTGATGTTACTTTTTTTGTTTCTTTCTAAGGACCTGGCGCTCTGGCTTCTATGCAATTTAAAATTAACCTCCACGTTACGCTCTGAAATACATTCAACTTCGTTGGTTTTATTTATGAAACCACCATGGATCTTTCATCCCGGGTCGATCAAATGGAAATTCTTGCGAAATATTTCTGATCATTGAATTAATGTGCCTGCGTACGTAACAGTTTTTAAATGTTCATAGTGTTACGTTCTATTTCAGAGTTTATGATCGTATATTAAGCGTAGTTTGGCATACCGTATGGATATGGGGAGTAGAGTATCCAGTTGAAATAATATCGGCGCCGGCTACACGGATTTTGCTGCGCTCGTAGGACGAGGAAGGAGACCGTAGAGACCGTATGGGCTATACAGTAGAGTCTGTAAGTGTTGGAGGAGGTGAAGGATGAGGTAAAAGAGGATGAAGATGAGGAGGAGAAGAAGGAGGACGGACGAAGGGTCTGAGAGAGCGAGGCGTCGGTTGGCCAACGGAATGCGGCTTGACCGGCCGGCGGACTGGCCGAACGGCCGGCAGTCATCCTGGCGATCCCCCGTTTTTCCCCCGGTGCTCCGATCTCGCTCGAATAGCCCAACTGCCGTTGGCCCTAATGGACCCCATTGGGGTGCTCGAATATTCGTTCGCTATCTCGGACATCTCAGCCAGCATCCGTAATCTGCGTACACTCCTGTCTTGTCACCGCAAAACCATCTTCTAAGCTTTTCCAACGCGGTTCCGTTCTTTGTTTTCTATCCAGAAGAACTGCAGCTCTACCACGAATCAAGTACCAGCCAACGAGCCGATCAACTAGATAGGTGAAAAAACCTTTGGCTCGTGTCTTCTGCGCCCTTAACGTTCTGCCACATTGCTGATCGAGAGTTCCTGAAGAAGAGGAACAATGAGAGAGACGAGAGTACCCATAAAGATAGAATACTAATTGTAACAGCTAATTGCAAATAGTCATAAGACTGGGAGACACGAGTCAAGTAATCAGTTGTAATTGCAATTCATTGAACTGCATAATTTCCAATGAAAGATGGATATTACTCTTCGTTTAAATATTACTCAGCTAAGTACAAAGTTCACTATAATATTACTTAGTGCTCTCTCTTCTTTTACATGGGTTCCGTTTGTAACTAGATATTAATTCCAAAAACTTTATAATGTATATCACTTGGTTGCTCAGTACAGCGCCGAAAATGGCATCGCTTTTATTTAATAATATCTCACCGCTGATGCTCCAAGTAGATCTGCTTTCCATGCGAGTGCCAGTCAAATGTATTCGTGGAACGCAGCGCGCATTCGAAATATACGTGCGATTCGCTCATAGAATTCCAACCGGTACGTGAATTCCGTCATTTCGGGGAAAGAGCACAAGTCGTAGGAATGCTGTAGTCCATTATTCCTGACACTGCGTTAGATATACATATCATTATTAAACATTCAGTAGAATATTACCTAATGAAAAAATCTACCGGATAATTTATCTAGACCATCCAGTAGTACAAAATTTTTTCATTTAATACAGCAATAAAATATCATCTACCGACTGATATGTAATTCCTGAGGAAGGTCGTGGTCCTTGATTAAGTGTAGCAGTATAGAAATTCGTGGAGGAACATTGTAAAAGTAAAGCAGCACCGGTTGCCGGCTGTAGAACCGGAGACGATGGTCTCTTGGATGGCGAGGAGGTCCAGCCAGGCTCCATCTGCATAACCGGTACGCGAGTCTTCTACACTCTCCATTGACGTCTTGGGTATAATACCCGGACCATCGTGAAGTAACATTATATACCAAAGCGCAATTGCACTCTAGCCTTCCCGTGACTTCTCGAAAGAGCTCCAAGACCAAGAACTGGTAGAAGCGTAGGCGCGTCGACTACTCGACGACCGATGACATCACCGCTTCTGCCGGGACTCCTTCTCCAGGGATGCGAAAGCAGTTCGAATAGTGATGGCGCTGATCGCTCTTCCCTCCGGGTCTTCCTACCTCGAAGAGCATCAGCTCCAGAGTCCACTCTAGTCCGAGCAAGCAGGGAGAATCGTTGCACTCTGACATATCTCATCTTCTGCATACTATACACTGATGAAATATCTGTTCTGTGAAAATAAAAAACAAAAAGGTAAAGTCACCTTCCATAATCATGAGCTTTAGAATCTCTTTAAATGCTTCTAAAGATACATACCAACTTGCTCAAGTTCGTGAACGGTTCTATTCGATTGCTGAGGAACCAACGATGCTGCAAGGTACTCGTTACTTATCTAGTCGCGTGGAGACTTCAATGCACGGCTTGCCGCGACCGCAATGTCGCTTGCTCGTCAGCGCATCAAGCAAAACCGCCTTCTTGTCATCATAGCCATGTCCGCTAATTAAAGAGAAGAGAAGGAAGGAAGTAAACGTCTTGTAAAAATAGTCAACGCATACGACCATGACGTTTTCCATAAATGGAGAGAACTGTCAAAATAGAAGGCCACCCACGTTATCTCCTTCGTTTAAGATCTCTTTGCAATGTAGACGTAAGCCAGAGGTTATATCCCGTTCGCAACTAGACGCCTACGGTATCCCTGTCTCTCTCTTACGTCCGCAAACTCCCATCGCTCGGTCTCACTCGCACTCACGGATGGTATACCAATCTTGAGATCCAAGACCTAGACCTTCCCTGACTGGTTCGACGTACCTATCTACCTGCAACAAGATACATTTCTATGAGCTTCTCGGTGATTAATGAATTAATAAGCATAGTTGTCTCTTGACTTTTAAAAGAAAAATTATCATAATTGTTCTCATGAATTCTCAAATATTTTAAAAGGATCTATCGCCCACCTTTTGTCATTTGTCAAATTGAAACAATCGTATCCAGTGGTGACTTCGCTAACGTTTGTCTAGTGCGGCACTCCACGAAATTCGAGTACCATCAGTGGAATTCCTACCTGACAAACTGATCTACCTGGACCCACCGAGCCTTAACAATGTACGCCATGGGAAAAAGTTATTAATGGTTGCACACATCCTGTAGAGTCATCTGCCTCAAACGGTGATCTTCGATAGTTTATTACGTGCGGCAAACCTCGTTCAGCTTGCATCTGGAAAATTTATATTATATGTAAAATTGACATTGAAAAATTGTATCATTGGATTCTGCTGGCTAGATACGTGTGTGCACTTTTGCTAAATTCATTAAAATATTAAAACTCATAATCTGTTGTGTATTGATGTCTATGACTACTGAACCCAGAAAAATGTCAGTATCGAATGAAGAATGTAATATCTATGTGCGTCCAATCGAATGGTAAAAATTATACTTTACTCGTTACTTTAAAATCTGTCTGGTATCTGGACATTGTTCCATACAGTGAGTATTTGACGTTTCTCAACCAGAAATACATCTGTGCATATTATACAAGAGATAAAGAAAAAGGCTGATAAGATACGAGTGAAAAAAAAATTTGTAACGTAGACGCCAGATCTCGCGACAGAATTGACCAATGCATTCATGGCTTTATCTCCGGAATGAACGACGGCAGATAAAATATATAAATAGGGGTTTGAAAGTCGATAGATTTCGAACCGCCAAGGAATTTCGAGCGTATTTGCCAAAATTTGTATGGATAACGAAAATAAAAATATCGCATTACAGCAACAATTTTTTAAGATCCATAAAAATTATTCAAGGATACACGACAGAAGGTTTTATAGTACCTAAAGTCTTGCATATAGAGAATTTGGAGAATGATCGAAGGGTACCATAGGGCATGGTTTTCGAAATCTACCTGAGCCGGACCTGTGGGGAACGACAATGGCGGGCTTCCCAACCCCAGAAGAAAACACGGGAGCGGCATCGTACTAACCGAAACCTGTGCAGGCCCTTCGAAGGGCGAGACACCCATAAACTTACTTCAGACTTTGGTTTAGGGGGTTCGTCGGAGGTTTTCTTTTTACCGAAGCGGGCAGGTGCGAACCGATTTCTATAGTCCCTTCACGGTAACGCGAGCGAAAAGCTCAGGAATCGTGAGCGCAGTGCGGACTTTGGCGATGAGAAAAATAAATAAATTCACATCGATCGGTAATTTCGCGGTTAAGTAAAACGTGAAGATTTCTTGTTAGAAAATACAACAATTCTGGATCTATAAGCCTAATGAACCGTGCGACTAATCGATTAACCCCGCCACTTCTATCGGAACCACTTTCTTCTACGCTCGTAACTTCCTTCTCTCTTTCTCTTATTCATTTACTAACTCCGGCATTGAGTCTCGCTCGTTTACCGCGTAAGTCCGTAAATTTCAATGAGTTCGACAGAGCGCGGGACGACACCAGGCGATCCCAGTGACTACAAGAGACACGTTCAAAGGATTCACAGTGGTGAAGAGCATCGACGGAATATCGGTACTCTAAGAAGTCTGATGTAGACGGAAAACGTGCGAAGCAAGGACGTCTTACATCCGGCGGAAGTCGAAGGGCGTCGGCTTCTCCGCAAAATCCTTCGCCGAAATACCAAACGCGTGCGTCCTCGATCTTCCTTACAGTTGAAATCACAAGAGGCGCCTTATTCGCAAAATAAAGAAATATCTCGAGGATTTAGACGGAGATGGGATGACCTTCGAAGGCAGCCCTGCCACGCATACGAAATTTCATTCACGCACCCATAGACGAGTACGTCACAGGGTACCTTACCATGCCGCACAAGAGCGGAGGTCCCTTTTACTAATTGGAGATTTCGCTCTGCTTAAATCCGAGCAACAGCCAACTTTCGTTGTCCAGCGAACGATGAAAGTTAACATCTTCAGGAAGGTGTTTTGCGAAGTCTCCTGAACGTTCCTCCTTGAATTTTCCTGAAAAAGCGAAAAGACGTTGCTGTAGAATGGGCGAAATACGCGGCAAACGAGTGGTAAAACGTAGAGGTGGAAGGCAGGCAAGCAGCCAGGCGGGCAGGCAGAAGGCGGCGAGGCGAGGCAAACGTGAGGCAGCGTTGGTCGTGATGAGGTGAGGTGAAGTGAGGTGAAGTGAGGTGAGACGAGGAGAGATCGGATAGATGGTGAACTGGTGGAGGCTCCAAGGGAGTTGGGTCATTGGTAGTAACGTGTTCAGCGTATGGGAATCGTTAGGAAGCGGCCGTGTTCGTTGGAATGTCCTTTTTTCCTCTTTGTGTCTCTCTATAGCGGAGTACCGGTCCGCTCTCGAGCTCACGAGCTCCTCGCAGGTAGAAAGGAACCGGTGGGATAACTCGAGGTGCAATTGGTCCTCTCGGGCCCGTGACGTCAGAGAGCGATTCGAACTGGCGAATCACCGTTCTAGCTTCTTGGTTCAGGTGGGAGAGGCGAAAGGTGTGTGTGGCCCCAAACGTGGGGCGCGGGGTCAGTTTCTCAGTGAGTGCGGTAGTGATCTCATCTCTCGAGCGCCAGGTGTGACTCTCTGTGCCCCCCTCCGTTCAGAAACTTTCCTCTTTCCTTCAAATTTACCCTCAATATCTGAAAACCACACCGGTCGTCGTTGTTGAGAATAAAATTTCCTTGCTTCTCGATAGTCCGTCCATATAGTTTCTGTAGTTTACTCCAATACTATCCGTTGGGTCCTTTGAATCAGATTCTATAAATACTCCCAAGAGTTTTAGCCACCGGAGATATTCCTATCCTTGAAGAATCCATCGTGTCAGGCACCGAGGTTTCATCAGTTCACAGCATTTCCGCGATACCTTGTATCGTGGCCCATCGTGATCGTTACTCTCAATGGCCGCAACTCTGCTGCCCGCTCATCTGCCTGGCTGGTTGCTTAGCTTCCTGATAATCTGCCCACCTACTCACCTGGCTACCAAGCGGCCCGTCATTCGTCTCTCTATCTTTGGTAAGATTACTGGATGGCCTCGGGATCGCCAACTTTCTGTCTTTCCTGACACATTATTCACCTCCTTCTTCTTCCTAGACGTTAACATCGATCACTCCGTGTACGAATTAGCACGAGTGCAAACTGGAGGCTATTAGTATTCCTTATCCCCGTGACCCGGTTCGCTCTCGACGAAGAGCATGTGTGTGAAGAGCTGTGCGCGTCCGGGCATGTGTAGACGCGCAAGAGAGAAAATGTCTTTCAATCCTCTGGGAACGTGCGTACATTTACGAAATTGCACGCAGCAGGAATTCCTTGAGCGAAATTAGTGCATTAACCTTGTACGTGCCTCTTGGCTTTTCTCTTCCTCGGCTTCGTAATATTTAACAAGCAAAATACCACACGACAGACGCTTGCAGCTGAAAATTTAACTTTGAACCTTTCGTTTCTTATTTGACATTGGCAGGCCTGAAAGCTTTTATAGTTGAACTCCAGAGCATTGACTTACTTCAAGATTACTTTACTAGAATTTTTTCTATTCTTCTAGTAGCTCTTCAGCTTTCACGTGTAATGACTTTTCCTGGAGCTCTCAATATTCTTCTTCGTAAACGATTCACAGATATTCGCATCAGCAATGATCTTTGTATTACGAAATCTAGGGACAAACAAGGAGGAATTAGCTGATAATCGAAAAGATCAACAAGCCGTATCGTATGACGACCCTCGAGTGTTCGCTATAACATTTACTTCGCTAATTTGAAATCTAAATCAGTTCTTAGTTTAACTCTCCTTCAAGGCTGTTTTCTTATATTTGAATTTCTTGTGCTTATTGTCCTTTTCGAAATATTCGTTACGCTCACATTCCAGTAGACAATTTCCATAGTAAATTTCCTTCCAAATAGCACAGCTCACATAACTGTAACGAGTAAAATTACTCAACTGAAAATTGCTACTGACCAACGTACCCTAAATACATTACCATTTCAAGTTAAACTTGTTTCCAAACTATTATTAAAAAAGGATACAGTACTTAAACGAAATCTACATAATATCCACGTAGGACTATTTTCATCGTGGACTTTGACTCGGAGGCTAAGCTCCAGATGATATTTAGGTTATTGAAAGAGATTCTACTGTATATTCAAAAGATGAATTGAAAGGCTGAGAATGGATTGAAAATAAAATCGAATCCGGGTACGTGTACGAGATATGGCAAGATCATAACTTTCTCCAAATGGACGTCGTTGCGAAATAGCTAACCCCTACTGTGCAGCAGCCGCTATGGCGACCGGAACCGCCACCAGTTTCGACCGGTATCATTTATAATTTTGAATACTAGAATATTTTCAGTAATATAATTTAAAAGTATAATTTGAAAAAATGTAAAAAAAAGCATTGATCAACTAAATCCATCGAAAAAAATACATAACAATTTTTTTCGTTAAAGAAATTTGTATTACTTAAACACCGTGCATATTAATGATTACGAACATAATTATTTAACTCTATATGTAGTGTCTAGACATTCCTGGACTAACATTTTGTAGCTTCACTGGTGGCAAAGTAAAGCAGTACGCGTGAACGAGCAGGTCGGCAACAAATAAGAATTCCAAGTGCTGTTAGCCGCTGGGCATTATCTGCGCCGAAGCCTAAGAACACGAGCGGCGTTAAAGACGACTTTCACTCCGAAATGTCAACGGTTCTTTCACTTTTCAGACCCTCGTGAGCCGCTTGATACTCCACAGCTATGATAACGAGACTTCTATCACACAAAGCCAACATCACCCCTGAAATTTTAATTCTGATATGTATTCTTACATAGTTAGATATTATTATCCTAGTATTAATAATCAACTGTCAAATCGATTTCTTGTATTAGTGAATATATTTCGTACCTAACAATTTTGTTTTAGGATCCAATTTCCAAGGACGAGCAGCTCATGGAGTGGTATTCCCGGAAGATGAAAATTCCAAAATGGCAGTTTTTGGCGGGGACATTTTCTTTGGTTATCTAGCTGTATGAGTTTCATTAGACTTCATAAAGCTAGGTTACCGGAGTTAAGCTCCTCGCCGTATCAACACCACCAACAATCCTCGTTGAACTATTAAATTAATGATTAAAAGTAAATAGATAATAACATTAAATGCGCAAGATACGCCGAGAAAAAAAACCTTTATCCGGTTTCAGAGTGGCGCCAAAAAAAATGTCTTTCTCTCTATTCAACGAACGACCTTCTGTGACGTAACATTGCGTTCATGTACTTTCTTTAGAACGCTGAGTCTTTATTCTTACGGCGACAACAATCGATATGTGTATTGAAATACATCCCTGCTCATATTTTCACACCAGGAACTTGAAAAATTCACTTTATACTGTAGAGAGACAATTTAGCCTGTAACGAAACGAAAACATTACATTTTTACTTGGTAGATGCCATTCAATTACTTGCATGGCAGTTATTATATATGTATATAGATCTGAAAATGAATTAGGCATATCAAATTATATACTTTACTCTTGTATCAATGTATGAAAGTTGTCACGAAAAATAAAAATAAAGTTAAATAAAATCAACTGTTTATCCATACAATGGGACAATGAATTATTTTTTTCTAACCTTTTGAATGGTGCAATAAACAATAATAAAAAATGCCTATTATCCTCATAGTTTCTCAAGGAACGGTTAATTCAATCTTAGTCGTTGTTCACCATTATCATGACTATTATCACCGCATACTACGGAATTATACAATGTATAATTGGATCCCATCCAATTTCATCGAGCAATTTTATTCAAGCATCAACGATTGCTAGCAAGGTTGTTGCTTGCCTGTGCTTGGCTACTTGTTCGTATGGCTTTGCTTTCTTAAAAGACCGAATGCACGATAGTTTTACTTTTTAGGCACGGACGCGGTGCGTGACGAGGATAGTTCCCACAATAAAGTGAGTTCATGATGAGCCTGTGTATTTTCCGTACACGTATGTATATGTATCTGAGATTTCAGGGCCGTACAATTATTACTATTGACTAGCAAATGAACACTAAAAAGAAAAATACTCTGAATAGATTCACAAATATTTTTAGAGACCTTCTGTCTAAAATTTGTAAGTAAAAAATATAGATATTTTTCGGCATTTCCGCATTTTAAACAAGTTAAATATGAAATATTTGAGGCATTCATTCTTCCCGAACAGACTCTACCAGCGGACATAGGAGCACTTAATAGGACAAAATTGATTCAAAGCTGCTGCAGTGCCATCTACAAATGTAGAAATCTACGTTTACCGTAGCAGTCCGATAAAAAGTTCCTCCTCCAAAAAAGAGAACGCCACTATATGGCCAGCAATGAGAGTGACTTTATCAACTAAGTAGTTGCGGCGATCAGCTTCACTATTCTTTGGAGAATACGGGGATCGACCGAGTAACTACACCAGAGAACCAGCGAACACATTTTCCATGTTTTCACAGATCAATACAATGGCATAGGTACTAGGACGCCTCAATGCTTTTTCAGGAACATCTAATTCGAACTTCAAGATACTTTTCAAGACGAGTACCTTATTATTCACAGGTTTATGAGGGCTGCATGGTCTCATTTTTAAAGCGGCAAATCGAATCTTCTAGACGTTCCACGAGGACTGCATATGTATATCGTACACAATCAAAATTTCAGATATTAAATATTTTTACATGAATGATATTCTTTTGCGAATTAGAAAATGGGTCTAATTTATACTTTACCATAGATATCATTTCTTTATTTTTATGGTACAAACGCTAAATTCAAGACCTACAGAATTTTCGCGCGTAAAAGGCATCATTCATCACATAACCGTAAAACAGCGTTCAGAATTTTCAATATTTTATACAATTTAACATTGCTCTATTTCATTTTTATAGATACTATTATGAATTATTTAGGCAACCGTTGTAAATAAATAAAGATTTCTCTATTTTATAGAATAGCTGACTCACTTATGGACTGAACGACATATGTACATATAATAATAACAGCCTTACCACAGGGCAGGCCGGCATCGGGAACCTTCTTTTCTAACAAACGCCGGAAGTACTGCGGAATGAAAAGTACGACTAATTTTCGACTAAGATTATAAACTGATCAATTGACTGTAAAATAACTAAGTTGTACACATTAATTGAATTATTCATGAGGAACGCTCGTATCGGTTTGCACAGAATTTCATCTTTTTTGAACAAAAAGTGATTTTCGATATACACTATGACCGGAAATAGTATGTACTGACACCAGGAAAAGTTCTAGAAGCTTCTAGAATGTTCGATGCGCTGAGCTAGTATATAAGGCTTCCTCGCACCCGGCGGGCCACATTACTGAAGTCAGTGCGAAGCGTTTGAGACTGTGTGCTCTTACTCAGCGAAGTGCGTTAACGTTTTAATTGAATTTCCACGTTGAAAAAAAGCTACAGAAACGTAAGTAATTTTTACTGATATAATGCTAATAATTTGTAGCATTTTTTTTACAATTATTTAAGTACGAATGGAAAATTCATTCTCCAGCAGTATCGACTCTGAAGAATGTCGCCCATACATATTTAATTTTTTTAAAATTCTTTCGTTTGAATTAACGTGTATCAGCGATGAATAACATTTTCATTTACTTGATATTCAGAAGAATAGTATCAGTTTAATGAAATTATCAAACTAAAATAATGCCATTCATGATTGGGCAGTTGTATAGAACACGCGGACGCGTTTCATTTTTTTAAATTACTGTGGATAATACCATATCTTTTCAACGATCATGTTCGGAGGTGTTAACAAATATTTTTTTTTTTTTTTAAATTTAGATGCCTGAACAAATGGAGACCACTGCTGGCGAGGTCGAGACCTTTGCCTTCCAGGCTGAAATTGCACAGTTGATGTCATTGATCATCAACACCTTCTACTCGAACAAAGAAATCTTCTTGCGAGAATTGATCTCAAATTCGAGTGATGCTCTTGACAAGATTCGTTACGAGTCATTGACAGACCCATCCAAATTGGAGAGTGGCAAGGATCTGCACATCAAGATCATTCCCAACAAGAATGACAGAACCCTAACGATCATTGACACTGGTATTGGAATGACTAAGGCTGATCTTGTCAACAATTTGGGTACAATTGCCAAATCTGGAACAAAAGCTTTCATGGAGGCTTTGCAGGCTGGAGCTGACATTTCCATGATTGGTCAATTTGGTGTGGGTTTCTACTCTGCCTACCTTGTTGCTGACAAAGTGACTGTTGTTTCCAAGCACAATGACGATGAGCAGTATCTTTGGGAGTCAAGTGCTGGTGGGTCGTTCACTGTTAGGCCAGATGTTGGTGAGCCACTTGGACGTGGTACCAAGATCGTTCTTCATATTAAGGAAGATCAATCTGAGTATTTGGAGGAGAGCAAGATCAAGGAAATCGTAAAGAAGCATTCCCAGTTTATTGGATACCCAATCAAGCTTCTTGTGGAGAAGGAACGCGAAAAGGAACTGAGCGACGATGAGGCTGAGGCTGAGCCTGAAGAGAAAAAGGAGGAGGAGGATGGTAAGCCAAAGATCGAGGATGTTGGTGAGGATGAGGAAGAAGATAAGGATAAAAAGAAGAAGAAGAAGAAGACTATTAAGGAGAAGTACACTGAAGATGAGGAATTGAATAAGACAAAACCAATCTGGACCAGGAACGCTGATGACATAACTCAGGAAGAATATGGTGAATTCTACAAGTCATTGACCAATGACTGGGAGGATCATTTAGCTGTCAAGCACTTCTCTGTCGAGGGTCAACTTGAATTCCGAGCTCTCCTCTTTGTTCCACGTCGTATGCCTTTCGATCTCTTTGAAAACAAGAAGAGGAAGAACAACATCAAGCTCTATGTACGCAGGGTTTTCATAATGGACAACTGCGAGGAACTCATTCCAGAATACCTCAACTTCATGAAGGGAGTTGTTGACAGCGAGGACCTTCCTTTGAACATTTCTCGTGAGATGCTTCAACAGAATAAGATTCTTAAAGTTATCAGGAAAAACCTGGTTAAAAAATGTCTAGAACTCTTTGAGGAACTTACCGAGGACAAGGAGACATACAAGAAGTTCTATGAACAGTTTAGCAAGAACATGAAATTGGGTATTCATGAGGATAGCACGAACCGCAACAAACTTGCCGATCTTCTCCGTTACCATACTTCAGCATCTGGAGACGAAGCATGCTCTTTGAAGGACTATGTTGGCAGAATGAAGGAGAACCAGAAGCATATCTACTTCATCACTGGCGAGAGCAAGGAACAGGTGGCTAACAGCTCTTTCGTAGAACGTGTAAAGAAGCGTGGCTTTGAAGTTGTCTACATGACAGAGCCCATTGATGAATATGTTGTACAACAAATGAAAGAGTTTGATGGTAAACAGTTAGTATCTGTAACGAAGGAAGGTCTGGAACTGCCTGAAGATGAAGCTGAGAAGAAGAAGCGTGAAGAAGATAAAGCCAAGTTCGAGAATCTCTGCAAGGTTATGAAGACTATTCTGGACAACAAAGTTGAGAAAGTTGTTGTTTCCAACAGGCTTGTAGATTCACCATGCTGTATTGTTACGTCTCAATATGGATGGACCGCAAACATGGAAAGAATCATGAAGGCACAGGCCCTCAGAGATACTTCAACCATGGGTTACATGGCTGCGAAGAAACATCTTGAAATTAATCCTGACCATTCAGTCATTGAGACTTTGAGACAGAAGGCTGAAGCTGATAAACATGACAAGGCTGTAAAGGATCTTGTTGTCCTCCTCTTTGAAACTGCCCTCCTTTCCTCTGGGTTTACCCTGGATGAACCTCAAGTCCATGCTGCTAGAATTTACAGGATGATCAAGCTTGGACTTGGAATCGACGATGAGGATCCTGTTGTTGAAGAACAAAAAACTGTTGAGGATGTAGTACCACCCCTCGAAGGAGACAGCGAAGACGCTTCTCGTATGGAGGAAGTTGATTAAGAAGCCTTTTTCCATTAGAGACTAATTTAACTTGATCTTAGACACTGCCCGCGATCAAACCACGTTTTATGTGGTTGTCCCTCGTTAATCATTTACAATCTCTTTGTATCATACATGACTCATTCTTCCATCGCTCTTTATAATTTATCATTCCTAATGTTAAATCGTATACCAAATATTTTTTGCACGTAAGCTCCACACTGCTATGTTGTAATAAATAAATTATAACATAAGGAAATACTGCCTTCATTTCACGTGTTCCTATGTAATCTGTTATTTATACCAACACTTTTCAGCATTTAAAATAATTAAAAGGATTAAAAGTAAATTGTTCAATATAGAAGAAATTTTGCCTTGTATCTTTTTTCGAGTAATGCATAATTAATAATAGAACTTTAAATTCTTAAAAAAGTAAACATCACGAAGTGCAAAGCTCTAGTGTGATAAATGTGATAGGTTTATAAATAGCTAGATAAAGTTGGAATTTCTTAGAACTTAATTGCTGTAATGGGTTAGGATGTGTTGGAAAGATCTGTATATAAGTTTTAAAAATTATGTTCACAGTTTTTCGCGTAATATTTTCCATACACAATTATTTAAATATTACCTTTATTCATACATAGTTGCAACCTATTCAAATATTACCTAAATAGCAAAGTTTCTTCTTTATTGACTGAACCTTCTTTGAAGGCTTCATGTTAAGTTAGTACGAGAGTTCATCGTAAGCTTCGCTAGGAGGCATTTCCAATTGACACTTTTTCCGTTAACGTGGAATGAATGAAATTTCTATTGCGCTATGCATTAAAATAGTGATGGCATAATCCCCGCTTTTAACGGTTGAATATGTTAACTAGTGATTTAATATTGTAGACTAAAACGTTCCAGGAAGGTAAGCTCTTGGTTTTTTGTCACGTACTTATTAGTATCATATTGCTGTATTGTTTTCAAATTCAAAAGTATAACCTCCGTCTATTGGAACATTTTTTCTATACAACTGAACGTCACTTTTATGCCAAAATTTTATTCTTTGAAGCGATAATAACATTTGCATATACGTTGGTGCTAGTCAGTCGCTCTTAACCTGTAATATTCGCCAGGTAGTTTCCGATGGTATTCTATACATTATAAAATATTTACAATATTACACAGAGTTCTATAGTCTTTTTCTTACGTCAGAAAGACTGATTCTATTAAAAATATTATTCACATGATTACTAATTGTTTTTTAATTTTAGTGTGTTATAGTGTATAGTGTATGGCTGATACAAGCAACATGGGTGAGGCTAAGGCCTCAGGTCTGCGCCCACCATCAAAAATTGGAAGACCGTGTTGTGCATTGCCACCTAAGCCAGCTGTACCGGTGTCACCTCCAAGATCATCATTGAGTGAGTTTTGGAACTGCATCTTTGCATTTTTATGCACTTTTCTCTGTTAAAATTTGTTTTATTTTATGTTCTCTTGATTGTACTGCACAGACTTTGCTTAATATAATTTGCATGCTTGTTTGTACATAGTATGCTTATATTTTTCATAAGTTACATCCTCCTTTATCTTAGAAGATATCCAACAAAGATATACTCTGCAGCAGATATACGTCAGCGAATATAAAAATCATAACAATGAATTTCTGAAGCAAAAGTTTCTCAGGAATATTAACAAAGTATGACATCATACCTATGATGAAGTCTCTTAATAAGATCAATAGTCTATCAGTACCTTTTTTTTCTATATCAATTAAACAACCATGCTTCTAAAAGATCTGTAATGACAGCAGATTATCAAGCTAGGAAAAGAGTACATCCCTTTTTTGTTATTAGTGTACTATCTGTACGTTTTATGTTATTTTATATATCCTTTTAATCAACTATTCCAAAATCCAAATCTGTACTCATACTCTTGGATAAGTTAAAATCTATCGCTTAGTCGTGATTCTTCTTAGTTCATTACTCTGTTTACCCGGTATACGGTAACTCAACCGCACGACTGTGCTGTCAGGATGTCCTTTAAATGAATCTACTCTTAAAGAATCTGTACCCCACCATAATACTTTGCGGAGTCCCTTTGGAGCCCCAATGAGATCTCTCTGGTCACGAGAACTTGATATATACGCCCACGAAGAACTGTGCCACTCGGGCTACTGCAAGTCTCACAAGATTTTCGAGACAAGTCGTTCTCGTACCTCTCTACGCGATACATCGCTCTCCGGTACCCTATTGGTAAATCCTGTTGCTGCATTGGAAAACGCACACGCAATATCGAAGAAGCCGCTTTCCATAATCATTGAATATTATTATTGCGGATACACGTATTGAGTGATCTTCGTAAAAGGCATCCTTGAGTTTTGGTAATTTTATATATTTTTTATTCATTAGATTCATTTATCCACATTTTATAGGAACTTCGAGTGCTTCTGAAATTTGAATATAAGGACTATATTAAATAATTGTATAATATACTTCTGATATCTAAACCTTCTTTTTCACTGTTTATTCTTAGATAACGCGATGATTTTAATTTTTCTTCTCTGACGCAGTTTTCTAATTAAAATTTTTATTTTTTTTATCATATCACGAGAAACTTTAATGTTTATCAACATTGTAAAACCAATTCACTCGACGAATTTATGAATTCTTATGTCATGTTCTGTTGGCCAGGTCGAGTCTCTCAGTTGTCGCTTCGGTTGGCCGTATAATGAATTAAAATAAAATCCCTCCCAAAATACTCGAAGAAATCGGACAATAAAGAGGAAGTTCTCTGTACCGTAAGATTACAATCCAAAAAGTATAGCATGGGCGAGGCCTCTTGGCAAGCATAACCACATAAGTACACTCACATCGAGTGCACGTATCTTACCTTATTGGTGCATCTGAACACCGTGCAGTCTGAGACCTAGAAAACATGGCCAGTGCAGTCATCGCGTGACGCATGCACTTATGTAACACAATAATTATTGTTCTTTTTGCGAACCTTTCGCACCATTCAATTTTCAGTCGAATCGATTTCAAAGTACCGAATACTCCTTCAAATTTCCATATCCGTCACTCTCGGATTCTAATGATATGTCTACATGTCCATTACCACTGTAGATTCATTAAAAAATGACAGGACAAACATCGCAAGATAATTTCACGGCGTCCTTTTCTTCTAATAGCGTTCACTCAAGTCCCCAAGGAGAGAACTCGATATGTAAACATCGATAATTAAAATGTTCCACGAGCGTAAAAGCGCGCGGTATTCAAGTTTGACGCAATCACTTTACCTTAAAGTCATAAAGCCTATGGCATTCCTGGACAGCATCTGCTAATATGGATTACAGAATGTTGTTGGCCCACAGCTGCCATTGAGGAGGATTTCGTAGCGCCAGATCTCTCTTTGGAATTTGTCGTGATCCTATTTAATATACATGAGAGTCTCGAAAGACTGTTCCGTCAACCGGTTTTTAGCGATAACGCTTGATCCACGCAGAGTATCTCATAGGAATGTCTGGCCTCGTATAGAGATTGATTAATTGCACTGTCATTCACCGATATACATAGAAAATTGAAGATCACGGTCGGTTAAGATCACTGCACGAGTATCATTGATCGGAGCAAATAGATTTATAAGGTTAAAGATTTCTTAGGAAGCCAACAGGAGACTTCCGGTGTAACCGGAAGCACACAGCATTATATTCCGCGGAGGTTCCTTATTCCAATTGCGATATTCATAAGCCATTTTGAATATCGTGATAACCTTGTGCGCGTAAAATTTTTTTCGTTCTCGTTTCTTTTTCTTCACAAGAATCTGTCTCGATTGGAAAAATATTCAACCCACACCTGCGGCCTACAGGAGCCACACCCACTATCATTCATAAATAATCAATTATATCGAGAATGAAACTACGAGAAGAACGCGCAGCGGCTTTTTCTGTGATACCTTTTCAGGATTTTCATTCTACGCTGTGGATAAATACGCGCAGCTTACAATTAGCATTTGCCACAAATTTTTCAATTTTCTCACGTTTCAACAACTTTCATCATTCCTTGACGGACATTCTTTTTTACTTAACCTTTTTACCATAGCCGGATTCTCGATACGAACTCGTTATCCTTCTGCGAAACTACACGTTATTACCCTCACGTTTAAATATAAGCAACTTTAACGAGCTGTTTACGTAATCGCGTGTCACATACCTAAGGACACTTAGTGGCGTGATTGACGCCGACTTCCGGCAGTGAGATCGATAACAGTGACAATTAATGAATCGAAAAAAACCCAACCCTCTATTGCCTCTTATAAGATCGAAGATCCTGCTGTGATCCTAATTATACCAATTGGGAACAATAGAAATTGTCTTGACAGGATGTCAATCCATCCGTAGCTACTGTACAAATATTTATTATATAATTTTTTTTCTTCAGATGAGCAACCCAATTCTCGCAACGCAAACTTTGGCCAGTGTAAAACTATGTTGTTGCATGTAAAATTATCAATGATAAGGATTCAGTTCAGTTGTCATGCCCATATACCTTACTACCCTTAGCATATGTCAGTGTGGCTTATCCCTATGCTTTTAGTGTGATTTGCATTGTGTTGCATGACGCAGCTGATATCATGGAGCATCTCTGGGAGACGCACGGCCGTCGATTAAGTGAGGCTGGATTGCGCAGAGGCTCAGGTAGGTTGCTTAGAGTGTTGTTCCTCCTGCCGTGTAAAGTCCCAATAGACTTGTGCAATGTAGTACATGGATTGTTGCTCGTCTATGCACATGCACAGAGTCGTCAGTAGCTGAATGTTTTACACGACCTGCTTAGCACGGAGTGCTGCATGATAATGTTGTTGAACTTTGAAGAATTTAGAAACACGTGCTATTTTATAAATTATACCAGACGTGCGTAGTGTATTATAGAATTTTATTAAACGTATCTACGTCACAGAGATAAATTGTTCTCAATTCAGGTACATAAGATAGTTTTTACCTGTAGCTATGTTTAAGGATATTGAAGGGTGTCTTATGCAATTACATCTTGGACAGATACTAGCGTGGTCCTGACTGTGGACACAGACAGCTTTATAATAGGAGATCGAGTATGGGTTGGAGGTACAAAACCAGGTTCGATAGCTTATATTGGAGAAACAAAGTTTGCTCCTGGAGATTGGGCTGGCATTGTACTGGATGAACCTATTGGTAAGCTGTAGAAAATATTTACTTAGTAGCTATGAGTGTACTGTGAAATTACAATTTTTAAACGACGTTCTGAGTAATACATGGAATCTTTTTTACACAGGCAAGAACGATGGATCTGTGGTTGGCACGCGTTACTTTCAATGCGAGCCAAAACGCGGCATCTTCTCTCGACTTACAAGGCTGACAAGGCAGCCGTTATCAGACGCAGCTCTAGCGGAAGCAGCAGCTAGCCAGAAGACTCCCACATCACCGTCTGAAAGTACAAAGGGGACACTCAACAAGTCCATGTCTCCCTCTTTGAGTAAGGCTTGAAGCATGCAAAAATTAATGTCGGCGATGCGTCGCCAGACGAAAGTTTGCATTCCATTCTTGTTCTTAAACTATTCTTCTATTGCACCACTTCCCAGTGAATAACTTCATATCGTCATATCGAGGAACATTTTGTTCTTAATTATTTACTCCTTAGTATAGTTTGCACTTGCATATTATATAAAACACTGTATTTCGACGTTAGCCTTTTACCAATGCTTACTCAATGTTTACACGTAGAAATTGTTTATGCGCTCATATTAACGTTATAAATGTTACATCGATCGTTAGAACATAGTTTTATCATGATTAAATTCATTAAAATATAATTTCCTTCTTTAGTCATTAATCATACATTAGAGTAGGATTAAGCACAGTAAAGTAGCAGAGCCATTTTTCATTGGATTTCACATAGTATTATTTCATAATGTAAAAGAGCCTTAGTGGCTTGTGCAGAATTTTGTGTACACGTCTATACCTGCCATGAAGCAGATAATGAATATATTATATAATATCCCACTCTAGACACCTCCACGACGAGTCTGTCATCGGTTTCGCATAGAGACCTAAGGATAGGAGAACGTGTGATTGTTTCCTCGAGCCAAGGAAGTAAGACCGGCGTTCTCAGGTTCCTGGGAACGACGCACTTTGCCAATGGCGAGTTTTGCGGCGTGGAGTTGGATGATCCGCTTGGGAAGAACGATGGATCAATCGATGACATAAGGTGCACTGTTCATCTTCTGGTAACACGGCAGCCACCTAATCACTCCCGTAGATGCATGAAGAAACTATAGAGAAAACTAATGATACATACAAAGATGCGTCCCCCTATCCATACAACAATAAAGGAAACAAAAGTCTCGAGTACCAAACAAAATTGGTACTCGGTCGTCTGACTATTATTAATATTTACTAGGTATTTCGAAGCACGTCCGAAGCACGGACTTTTTGCTCCGGTACACAAAGTAAGTCGATCGCCCTCGAACCGGAGGACGTCTTCGTGCATCGTTCACAAGCCTACCGGGGCTGCGCTGAATATGTCTCTTAGAAAGTTGGGATCCCGCGAATCACTCGCCTCTGTGTCCAGCATCGCCAGCACCACTGCTAGCACTGCTACGAGGGGTGCACCCTCCACCACCGCCAGGGTAAGATTTCTAATGCCGGAGTAAAGGATCTCTACTTGATTGCAGGCTCAGTTTTATACGCCGGATCTTACCTTGTACCCGTTCTATGCGTACTTCGTACATATCTTTATGTAATTAGTATTTCGCTTTTTGTATTATTGTAATGTATGCGTCTGTAGAGACTTGTGGAGAATCAAAAGAGTACGAAAAATGACCACTGATTAAATGCTGGTGGTACGTTAAAAAATATTGTACACCTGTGAGGAATGAGTAGAGGGATATACATTTTTTGTTTATATGATATATGTGAAACTTTTCGTTATGAATCTTGTGTGATATGTCTTTCGCACTCTCTATCAGACTTTTATGCACCGTTGTTGACATGCGTTGTTGGTAGTACTAATTTTGCTTTGTTTGCATGCATTGAAATACTTAATCTTGACATAAGTGTTGCACGATTTATTTATTTTTCGTTTGTTTGTTTTTAACATCTCAAATTACAGAGAACCGGTTTGCGCACTTCGACACCTGCACGAAGTTCATTGCAGGTGAGAATCTAATCTTATCCAATGGTGAATTACAGAATCCTCATAAAGATCCCATAATCCCTTGACAAAAAGTAGGGCTGCCTAAGGAACCGTGGAGGTTGTCAACACGTTTCTTAATTTATGCCAATTTACGTCGTTCTATCGTTAATTAAATTAATGCGTTCGTAGGCCACTGATTGAATGTAGCGTTGCTTAGCAATTGACAAGCGTACATTTAGTGCTAATTTATTTATTGTTTATTTATTGTCGTTCCGTTTTATTCTTCGTAGATCTTAGACTGTTGTTTCAAGTTCTTTTATTGTTTGTTAATCTTAATTCTAAAATGTTATCTTTACATGTACGTATGTGATATGGTTAATAAAATCTCATGTACATTCCCGTATGGGCACCTTGTAGGAAATGAGAAATGAGAAAGTGGATATATTACTTTTACAATATTTTTCACAATTGTCATAGCAATTCTTGTGTCCGTTAAAATACTCTGTTATATGCCTACATTGAATGTTTAAGATCCGGCATTATGAGCGTCATTGATGTTAAATAAATTTCTCATAAAATCCTGTTTCCTTGATGAAATACCGATCGAAAGATAAGCGTATTATATAGGTGGCAGTGAGATCGAAGTCGGATAGTACAATTGCACAATACATGGGATATAGTTACTAAAGAAATACAGGTCATGGCTCCAGTGTGAAACCTAAGCATCCTGTGTTGCGCTCTAAAGAGTGCATTTACAGTAAACAAGGCTAAACGTACTAGTTCATAAAGTAAATCATTTCTTATTTGCATGGAACTGTGTATGCAGTAGATTTTTTAACAATGCAAAAGTTATATCACGTACACATGAATTGCCGTGAGTAACGTGAACTATATTAATATGGAAATTAAGTCAGGCCGATAGAAACAAGTAACGTTGATATTGTAGTATTTGAATGATTGAGTATCAGGTCAAAGTTTATTTTCCTATTATTGTCAAATTGATACCCCAATGAAATTTCTTTGGATGCAAGATTACTTGGATAAATGCAAGACGTGGTTATTGAATTTGCAGGAGATGTTAAAGGAGAAGCAAATGGAGATTGACTTTCTTCGCAAGGAAAGAGATTTGGAACGAGAGCGCGTAACTAAGGCTGCTAATCAGGCAGACAATGCCGAGCAATCTGCAGCAACTATACGGGAAGAGTATGAGAAGGTATATAGACGCGTTATGTGTTTTAACATAGTTCTGTTTGTAATAAAGTATATAATGACATTTGTTGGGCCATTCAGTATCGTGAGCTTATGGAAAAGAATGTGCAAGATGCACAGACTGCGCTTGCTAAATTGCTGGACGAGAAAAACGCACTCACCGTGCAGCTGGAGGAAGAGAAAAGAAAATCTGAAGATCTGTTGTTTAGATTCGAAGAAGAATCTGTTAATAAGGATGACATTCAGGTATGCACGTAACTTACTAGATTCATTATGGTAGGTATGTATTTCTGAGACTTGAACTACGTCTATTCTCTTAAAGGATTCGCATAACATTAAAACTTACAATGACAGACCAAATATTGAGAGACGGAATCTAGATTCAGAATATCATGCATATTCAATTGCAATGAAAATTTTAGTTGCATGATTAGATACATTTAAACACTGAACGACTGCAGGCTGAAGGATATTCTACAGCTTTAATTTTTTTCCCTCATTCTTACATTTTCGCTTCGTGACTTCAGGGTGGCGGTATATCAGCCAATATTAATGATGCAGACGCTAAGAATATTTTTGACATGTAGCATTTTCATTCTTCTATCTTTCACTGTATAATTTTGCATTTATTGTACAAATTCACATGAAACGCGATTTGGTGATCTCACGTTTCCAGAATATTGGGACAAAGAAAGGTGGTTCGCGGAGCTGTTAAATTTATTGGATATGGTTGATATATTATTTTCTTTTTAACATTAGCTCATAAAGAGCTTTGTTGCCTTATTGTAGAGCAATAAATACGCGTACTATTTTGCTGGGCTAACTGGGCAAACTTATGATTTATTTTCAGAAAGAGAGAACTGATCAAAGTGTGAGTATTCGAAGGAAGCCTTTTGGGTCCAAGGAGTTGCTGCTGCTGTATTTCTACACTGCTTGTCTTATCATCATTCTAGTCTTGACTTTTAACATAGTGCCCTATCTCTTTCAAAATTGGCCCAGCTCCTCGAAATTTTATTGCTTTTATACAACTCATATTCCTGTTTAAGACGCACTACATGCTCTTATGCAAGGGCTGCTGTAAAGTCTTGTCGGCGTTCCATTGTTATGTCGATAATGACATTTTCCTTTTATTCTTATATTTTTATTACATCTTCCTATTATGCTTTTTTTTATAATTTATGTGTTTAATTATCTAAATTTCATTCATCAACTAAATGTTTGATACATAATAACATTATTTATATAAAATTTAGATTATTTCATGAGCTATTTACTTGGCAGCTCAATTTCCAGCCTACGAGACTTTCAGCTGGACAACAAAGAACAGTATTAACTTAACTAACCAGAAAAGAATCTCAGTGCCATAGAGCTTTCACTCACACAGCTTTTTTTTTAATATATTGCAAGGAATAATATATAGTTATAATCAATGTAACTTTATTGTCCCCACTGTACTTTGCCATATACAAGTATCGCTAAGAATTCAAACATCTTGTAAATGTGTTACGCTTTACTTATATTTTGTTTCCATTTATTTATTGTAATTTAATTGTTTCTCTATGTGATATTGTTAATATCTTTCATTCAAATAATAACATTGTCATTGATTTAGATCATTTTTAATGTTTCGTTAAATTCTATTATCATACTTTCCTTTGATGTTTCAAAACACTTTAACTAATTACTAGATTTACATGTACTCACATGCTTCTCCTTGTTTGTCTTATCCTACGATGATTTGCAAATTGTTTTTGTCGTGTAAAGCTCTGTGTTTCTTGATAGGTCACAAATGCTTTAAATGAAAGTAAAATCGAGGAACTTCAGAAACAGCTTTCAGAAGAGAGAGAGCGGGTCGTTCAGCTCGAGCACGAAAGCACAAAGTTATTTGAAGTTGAAGAAGAACTTACGAGACTTAAAAATGAGCTTAGCTCCAACGCAGCACAAGACAATGATGCGTTACAAGGTGAATTTTGTTTGATCAATAATTATTCTGTCAGTTATTCGCTGCTTATCGTAGATTTTACTTTTCTATTACATATCAGATTTGCGAAACCTTAATGAAAATCTTGAGAACACTAAGATCAATCTGGAACAAGAGGTCAAGGAAAAAGACGCTCTTGTGCTGCAGTACGTTGAACGTATCAAGGTGCTCGAATTGAAGCTCAATGAACGTGAACAAGAAATGGGTGCACGAAAAGAATTTGAAGATAGTCTACAGAAAGATTCTGCAGAAATCAAACAGAGTTTGCAAGAAAAGTGTAGCCTTATCGAGAATCTTAGAACAGAGTTCGAAGCGAGCTCTGATAATTTAAAGAAGGAAATTGAACGCCTGAAGAAGAGTATTGAAGACATGACAAATGAAAATAAGAAGGAAAAGGAATCTTTAATTGCTGATCACAAAAGGATCATTGAAGAGAAGGATAATATTATTCAGGAGATGATTAAGGAAAATGAAGCACGTTCTTCTAACGATTCTGATGTACATCGTGAAGCCTTGGAACGGCTTTCTAAGGAAAATGCTGAAAGAATTCAACAAATTTCGAACGAATTTGATGAAAAACTGAAAAGCAAGGATGCTGAAATTCAGAAATTTACTGAAGAATGTAGCCTGAAAAATGTAGAGATTGAGAGACTGACCAAGGAACTAATCAGCCAGGAAAATCATTGTAAGGTTAAGGACGAGCAACTTCGCGATCTTCAACAGCGATACGAGGGTAGGTGTATATTGATTAAGTTTCACAGATTCAATCATCATCTTTTTTTTATCTTCAATAACATTTATTGTCTTTCGTAATATCAAACTCTACTTTTAATTCTGTTAGATTTAACTAAATTGGTCGAGAGTTTAAAAACTCAAGAAAGTGAATTATCAAAGACTTACACCTCTAAAACGGCTGAAATTGAGGAACTCAAAAGGAATTTCCAAAAAGACATTGCTGACAAAGAAAGGTTTATTCAAGAGATAACTACTGATTCAAATCACAAGACACAGAGACTGAATGTAGTGGAAAGAGAAGTTGCTGAATTGAAATCGTTCTTGGCGAATAAGGAGGAAGAAATTAAAACAGTTACTGATAAAACAGCAGGTAATATTAATTCAATATCAGTATTTATATCCTGTAAGTGAAAGTTTGAGAATTCTGATATACTTTGCAGAATTGCGGGATGCAATGACGTTATCCGAGCAAACGAAAACGAATCTCGAAAGTGAATTGCGCATATTTGAGTCAAACGTGGAGATTTTGAATCAAAAGTTAGCCAGATCTGAAGAAAAAGTTGCTCAGCTCACGGAACAGAAAGAAAAATTGGTCAGTATTTGATTTGACTGGATCTTCTTGAATTAAAATTATAGTAACGATAATAAATTTGTAGGAATTGGATGTTGCAAATGCTATTAGTACTTCAGCCGATTCCTCGGATCAACTTTTGAAGTATAACGAGGACTTGAGAAAGAAAGAAAAGGAACTCGATGAAGCTCGCGACAAGGGGCTGCAAGTTCAAAACTTATTGACTTCTACCGAAGCGAAACTACAAGAAATCGAACAGGCGCTAAGTAAAACCAATGCAGCGGCCAAGGAACTCGATGCACAACTTAACGAAACACGAAACGAAGTTATTTCATTGAAGAAAATAAATGAAGAGTCATCGGCGAAAATTGCACTGTTTCAAAAAAGAGAACAGGAACTTCTGGAAATTGTGGATAAGAATAAACTAATTGAAGAAAATTTGAATGCGAAGGTGAAAGAAATTTCGGACCTTGAGATAAGACTGAAAAAAAGTCAGGAAGAAGCAAGTGGACTGAATGAAAAATGCATGACTTTAGAGAAATTACAACAGGGTGAAAAATCCAATCTTGATAAATTAGTTGAAGATTTGACCAAAAAATTGACGAGTTCTGCTGAAGACTTGAGGAAGTTGCAGGAATCCAAAGAACAGGTGGAGGCTGATCGAAATGTGATACAAGAATCGCTAAAGGAATTAACTAATAAACTAACGTCTGTTGAAGACGATCGAAGTAAACTAGACAAAATGATATCAGAAAAAGATTCGGAGCTTACTCAATTGAAACACAAGGTTCAGGATTTGGAAAAACAAGGAACCGATCTGAAATCTGTTGCAGATAAATATATTGAAGAATGCAATAATTACAAGAAGCAAATTGAAGAAAGAGATGCTGCGCATGATAAGTCGAAGTACGAGACTGACGCAGAATTAAAGACCGTGAAAGATCAGTTGATAAGTATTACCACAACTAGTGAAGAACTAAAGAAAACTTTAGAAACAGAAATAAAATCAGCTAATGAATTAAGAACAACATTAGCTACTGTTCAAGAAAGTACAAAAATAGTCGAAGAGAAAGCTTCACAATTGGATAATCTCGTTAAGCAGAAGGATAATAAAATAGTCGAACTTGAGAAGATTTTTACTACGTTGAAGGGTGAAAAACAACGAACAGAAGATGAGTTGAAAATCTTAAAGGATGGCTTGAGAATGAAGGAGATGGAAGTGTCATCGATATCTGAAGGCCAATCCGAAATGCAACAAAATATTAATTCTTTGGAGAAACAAGTAGCTGACACCAAAGCCGCGCTACTTGATAAGGACAATAAGATAAAAGAGTTGGCAAGTCAAATTGATGCTGTGATAAAAGACAAGGAACAATCAGTCAAAGAATTAAAGAGTACGATGGAAAATGAAGTTACAGCGAAGCAACAGCGAATCGAAGCAGTTGTGGAGCAAAATAATGTTTTGGAAAAAGAGAAAAATACTCTTCAAGATGCTATGAATAAGCAAAGTTCTGAAATTAATGTAAAAGATGCTTTTATTGCAGAGCTCATTTCTAAGATCAAGAGTTTTGAAGAAATTGAAAAAGAAAAGACAAAGACAAATGCTGATTTACGAACAAAAGAATTTATTGCAAAGCAAAATGAGATTGAGGAAATTCGCAAGCAAAATAGTGACTTACAAGCAGCCAAAGATTCTCTTGAGAAGTTAGTGCAGAAGAAGAGTGACAATTTGAAACAATTAACAACCTCAATGGAGAAAAAAGAACAAGAAGCTGAGAAAAAAGTACAAAATCTTACAGAAAAATTGAGTTTGTTTGTATCTGAGTCTACACAACTGAAAGAAGCGCAAAGCCGACTGTAAGTAACCAACTTGTATTAGTCTTCAGAAATTTGAAAATGGTGTACAATATAGCACATGACATGTTTATTACATCTTAGGGAAAAGGAAAATAAGCAGCTTACTGCAAAATGGATTCAAGCAACGGAAGATATGAAACTAATGCTTGAAAATAAGAAAAATAATCAAGATGTGAGTAATATATTCTTTTAAACTGATGATATGTAATTAAAGTTTTCAATTAATTACTTTTAGATCCAACAGAATTCGAATAGTCACATGATTCAAGCACAAGGAGATACAAATCAGCATAATAACGGTATATACATATGTCGTATATAACAAATATTTCTACTTTAATATGATAAAAACTCTAATAAACTTTCTTTACATAACAGGTACTGACATGGAGCCACAAAAATTGTTAGAGGAGTACGAAATGGCTAAAGGTCAAATAGAGTTTCTGAACTCTGTGATAGTAGATATGCAAAGAAAAAATGAAACTCTTCTATGTAAAATTGAAGTTCTTGAGATGGGAGTACCTGCAAACGAAGCTGATGATTATAATCGGTAGATAATCATGAAAATATAAAGAGAAGTTAATTAGTTTAACAACTTTAAACAAATTAAAATCTACTTTCCAGGCACACTCTAGATCAAAGAAAAGCAGCACCTCGCATGTTTTGTGATATTTGTGATCAATTTGATTTACACGATACTGAGGACTGTCCTCGTCAAGCTCAAGATTTCGTTGAGCCTGATCTAGCACCGAAGTCGCCTAAGAAGCCACCAGTCGAGAGACCATACTGCGATAATTGCGAAAGTAAGTTTCTTTAGGATATACATATAGTAATTCAGCTATTTAGGAGCTTGGCGATATAACTTGTTTTGCGATATTTTACAGTGTTTGGGCACGATACACTCGACTGTGACGACGCAGAAACATTTTAGCAACAACTTGTAGTTCCTCCATTTTGCTTGCCAGAAAAAAAAGCTACTAGTACTACTACTACTATTATCACTACCATCACCATCACCATCACCGCTACTATTACTACTACTACTATTTAGTGCAAAGACTAGTTGAATTTTCAGAGTATATTTTTCTATTGGGAATCTTCAATTGAATCCTAGCATAAAAAAGTCTTCCTACATAACACAAATCCATATCCGGTGAAGTTATTTGCATCATTATTTATATTGAGTAGAGTTTTCTCTCCCCATTTCTGCATAGCACCGTATCATGTAATAAAATTGGTTGTCAATGCTTTGCTCGATTTGACAAATATTTTATGCGAAGCATAGTCATTAGTACTGCTATATTTTTTGCTTCCTTCAAATTTAGATTGACAATAATTTCACGTAGATTTATCTTATATATTTACTGATATCAGCAGGTGAAAAACCTTTCTTTAGCAAGATGTCAGGATAGCATTGTTGTATGAACTTCAAGCTGACTGGGGAGAGAGCCGTCATGAATATACTGCTGCCTATTATATATCATCATTCAATAGATATCGTGCTACGATATTTGGAATTATTCATTATACAATTGTACATATGACAATTATTTATATCACCTTGTTTTCTATTTAATATTTATTGAACAAATCATATGTACATATGCAGCACTGGAGTAGGTAGGAAAAACGGTTCTTGAATACTATTAGTCTGAAACGCTCCATTAATTCATAAGTAATTCATCAATACTTACACTTCCTATGATCTCAAGTAAATCATCTATCACAGGGCTGGAAGAGTTATAGGAAAGTGTTTACTCAATTAAAATATATGCTCATTTACGAAATCAATGCCTCCTATTATTCTTTTAAGATCAAAATTATTGTGTATAACGTTTGTAGAGGCTTGATTTCACTCTTGAATCTTCATGCTTACAAATTTAAGTACTCCTTTGATATTAATCTTTCGAATAGTTGAAAGTCGAAATTGTTGCGTTTATGGAGAGCTGAAAGGAAATCCGCACTGGAATTTACTAAATGCTGCAACTAATGTTTTGTTTTTGATTGTTAAAGTAATCTCACTCATCTTTTTAATGCAATAGCATTAATCTTATAATGTAGGTGTTACACTGTTGACTTACAGCATTGTTGATGCAATATTTTCTTCATAGATTTTACAAGCTCTTATTGTACTGTACAAATAATTCAAAATTGTACTGACTATAGCAGGGAACCACAACTTGTTTAAGACTTTAAAAATTGTACGATACTATCAAATGCTATAGTTGATGCAGAAAATAAGAGGTTCTAATTCTATACAAAATGCAGACTACTTATTTTACATAGTAAAACTAGATATAGTACAGTCATGCTGTTTTTCTATGAATGTTAAGAGAATGAAATATATATTGCAGATTACTATGTAACGAAGAGCCACATTATAAAAAAAATATTGTTGCACACTTTATTGATTATCTCTTTAAGTATAATTAATATCTATATTTACATTTTTCTTAGTGTTATATTTAGAATTAAGTAATCATTTAATGCCTTTTAATCCAAGCCTTCCTTCTTTTCTTTTATAGCCTCCTGAAAATTAGACAAATGTAGTTTCTATGCAATGAAACAATTAAATTATAATACTTATAGTAAAATTCACCTTAAAGCGTTCTTCAAACAATGAGAGTTCTGCGATGAGATCCGTAATAGCATGCATGAAAGCTTCATGTGGTGTGTAATCAGAAGTTGTTTGAATCCTTATCACAAACTTATGTTCTAAAGGATGAGGTACTTTATATCCAGCGAATAATACTCGTGGATCTTTCAACAATTGGCTGTTAGCCATAAACACATTGATTAGCTTGTGAAACTATGCTTAATACCAAGTACAAAAGTTTAATTAAAACATTAAAAAGCAGCTCACTTTCTGATCATGTTTCCAAGACTATGATCTTCCTTGTTAACAGTAAATATAGCTGCATTAGGAACTTTAGTATCCTGTTCCTTTATTATCCTGTTTAAAAAATACAGGTTAACAATCACCACTCTGAATGCTCAAAAAACAATGTGAAACAATATCACTTACTTCTTCTCTCCATCGTACAAGAGAAATGATTCGAATGTCGGTGGTGCATTCATGTTTCTCTTACAAAAAACTTAATTATCGTTCAAAAAGGGATACGTAAACGTTATAAAAAGTAAATGTCACTCTAGAATATGAGCGTTGCCGCCACGCTTTGCTTTAGTCACATGAAAAAACAACGTGAATATTCAGTGATCGATCGAATAGGTATCAAAAGAGTGATAGCTGTCTCTAACTTTTTGTAGAGCGAGTAGAGTGCCACCCGGTCGTTACGGTTGCTACTTGCTACTATGATGCCATCTTGAAGAGCGTTATCACCTTTCAAATAGGGGCGGTGTTCTAGGAGTTTCGTGGTTCGTGTATTGCCAAGGCTCTCCCGAGGTTCGAAGGAACCGCAAGTAGTTGTCAAAATGGCGGGCGAAGGTTCGGCAAGTGTAAATCCCAATGCAGAAATTGTTCGCGGACAAGTGTTTGAGGTTGGACCACGATACACGAACTTGTTGTATATGGGGGAAGGGGCCTATGGAATGGTTATGTAAGTTATTCCATTGAATTTTTTCGATCAGCGAATAGCTACATGAAATCCTACTTCTCAGCTGCGTGACAGACGATAAGATAAACAATTACAATTAACAAAGATCCGTTATTCGCATAATGTAATGTACATTATGTCATTCCGAACATCGAGAATTTGTTTAACACTAATTTTGTAACATATTATGTCTTGCTCGTGCCATTTATTACTATTTTTGGCGCCAGTTTCGAACACATGTCACACCCCTTTCTTCTGGCATTCTATTTTATGATAGTCTCAATAATCCTCGTGGGCTTTAAATATTCTTATCATCTATTTATTGGCAAATTACTTCACTTTAGATACATAGGCAGGATTGTTGCTTTAAACACAGAGTGTATTAAGTTTGGAGTAAATTATCGTATTACTTTGTGACACCTATTCAAACTTTTCTTGTGTTGCTTGCATCCTCTTTTAATGTTTGGAACATGCAGTAACTTACTTATATTTATATTTAAACCATGTAATGAAAAATCTGATATAATCATTTAGTTACTTATGTAGTTTTTATCTTTTGCAAGGAGCCCTTATCTAATGCAATCAGAGATATTTTCCAAAACCATATATACTATGATACATATCACATTAGCTGTTGTTAAATCTTATTTATATAATTTATATCATCTTAGGTAAGGAATTTGATAACGCACATAGACATTTGTGATAGGAAACCACACGCTGATAAAGCATTTGCTCCAGAAATGACTCCAACGATTCATTGATTGAATAAAGTATCTTTCATCAGCTACTTTATACATTAAACAATTTTTTTATATTTCTGGAGCCTTAGCTGTTTGTTTTTCTTTTGAAATGTTTGTATAAAGAAATATGAAAAGTATTTAGATTTTTTTTGTACTCTTATAAGAGCTGCAACATCCATTAAGTGTATATAGTCTTGACTGACCGATACAAAATCTCATAGAATATTGAGGTACATATTACAATATTGTCATGATTGTAGACTGGCTGTATTTTATGTTGGTTATTTGACTGAAGCAGGTGCTTACGCATTGTAGCTACATTTGCGTTAATTTCATTTTTACAGATCTGCATATGACAATGTAACAAAAACAAAAGTAGCTATTAAAAAAATTTCTCCCTTCGAACATCAGACTTACAGCCAAAGGACTTTACGAGAAATAAAAATTCTCACCAGGTTCAAGCATGAAAATGTAAGTCAATGCTTAGGACATATTACATACAATCCAAATATCAATTGTCTGGAGTTTATTTATTGAATTGAGTTGATTGCAGGAATAATAAGTGGCCAATTTATTTCAGATAATAGATATAAGAGATATATTGAGGGCACCAACTATAGACCAAATGAAAGATGTCTATATAGTTCAGTGCTTGATGGAAACTGATCTTTACAAGTTACTCAAAAGTCAGGTAAATTTCTTTTCCAGTCTTCGCAGTTTAAATTGGTTCTTATAAAATGGTACAAGCCAAGCAAAATTACTCACTTTAATAGAAACTATTATAGTGTAAGCAATGTGTCCTATTTCAGCCTATTAGTAATGACCATGTATGCTACTTCCTGTATCAAATACTGCGAGGACTAAAATACATTCATTCGGCGAACGTGTTACATAGAGATCTAAAGCCCAGTAATCTGCTTTTAAATACCACCTGTGACCTTAAAATTTGTGACTTTGGCCTAGCCAGAGTTGCGGACCCAGATCACAATCACGCTGGCTTCCTAACAGAATATGTAGCCACCAGATGGTACAGAGCACCAGAAATTATGCTCAATTCAAAGGTGATGATAGATACCGCATTATAGTACATGAAACTATACCAGGAAACCTAACTTTGCCCTTACCCATACTCTATCTTATTCTACTTTGTATAGGGTTATACGAAATCCATAGATATCTGGTCCGTAGGCTGTATCTTGGCCGAAATGCTCTCACGAAGAGCAATATTCCCAGGCAAACATTATCTGGATCAACTTAATCATATTCTCGGCGTCCTCGGTTCACCGTCGTCGGAAGACCTCGAATGTATCGTTAATGATAAAGTATGCGATAATCAGTTTCTTGTGTATCCCTAAGTTTGTAAATTCAATTGTTATGTTACAATGGACATTTCTCAACTACAGGCTCGTAGCTACCTTCAGTCCCTGCCATATAAACCAAAGGTTCCATGGACGAGCCTATTTCCAAATGCTGATCCAAGAGCCTTGGATCTCCTGGATAAAATGTTAACATTTAATCCTAACAAACGTATCGTGGTGGAAGATGCTTTAGCGCATCCTTATCTTGAACAATATTATGATCCAGCCGATGAGGTGGGTATATCACGCATGATTATACAATGCCTTTGCATAAACGTCTGCACTTTTCCAATTGACAGATTACTTGATTCTTCTTCTTTAATACTTAACAAGATGTCCAAGGACGTTATAAACATTTTATACTGTTATGTTTTGATCTGTGTAGCCCGTTGCCGAAAAACCGTTTAAATTTGACATGGAATTGGACGACCTACCTAAGGAAACATTAAAGCAGTACATTTTTGAAGAAACCATACTGTTCCAAAAAAACCATCAAGAGAATGCTATGTAGTCTACTGGTGAGTATCAACCCTAATACCATCTTATGAAATTTCCTCTGCTTGTCTCAACACTCCTATTTCTGCTGATAATTTATTTTGTCATTGCGAAGCCTATAATAATATCCTATGAATAAATCTCTGCAATAACTGGTTATGACTAAAGAGTACCACGTGCTTTGTAAATTCCTCAATGATGATGGCATTCAGTTATGTAAACTTGAAATTCCTAGCCGATTACTCAGAGCGACATTTATTCGCAATTGCAGTAAATAACGTATAGAACTCCAACAATTTTCAATGAAACTATGCGGTTGATACGTCATTCCGTAAATACAAATTATATTCACCATCTGAACCTGACGTATTGATCTTCATCTTATATCTTAAATTGGTATACGTATCTAATTATCGTTACAGCTTAAGTCAACAAAGCGCAGGATGCCTGATGAGCGAAGAAAATAGGATCAGTGAGAATTGGATGAGGGAGGCGTACTTGCTAAGATAAAGTAAATCAAGAAAAAAAGAAAAAAAAAAGAAATAAAACAAACAAACTGTCTGCTCTATCGAGGAAAGGATCGTGGGAAAGAGGTAAAAGGTTAGTGGAGAGTGATTTAAAAAAATGAATGATTAATCGCGATGAGAAAGCATTGGTGATTGAGGTTGGGTTGGGAGGGGGGGGGTGGCAATGGGTGCCTAATTATCTAAAGCGAACCCATGCCACGAGTTTACACTTGTACATTCACATGTCTCTACCGAAATACAGTGATTTTTGTTACATTAAATGCATAATATTAATTTGTATAATAATTTCTATTTATCCCGTGTTATACGATAGGTTTACACTAGTTGACAATTTTATTGTTAATCACCGTCATACACTATCTGTGATTTAATTACTGAACAATGTGACTATCGGTATACTAGTGGTGGCGTCTCGCTAATTCCTGTCGCGTTACAACAAAATGCGCTCTAATTTGTCCTGGACTTGTTCGGGACTCTTGAGTATCAGTGTACACCGCGCAATAGGATGGCGATTTAAATCCTATGTCGTTTGGATGGCCCGCAAAGTAACCCAATGTCAACAGTATATTTTTGGTACACGATTCCATTAATTTTCTAAATTTTATATTAACCGGTAACACAATTATTTTATTTTATACACTTAATGATAGTTGCAAATATTATTTATTTCTTAACCTTCCTTCTATTATACTCTAAGGATTTCTTGACGAATCTGAACAAAAATAACACCAGTACACTTGATTCTGCTGTGTATCGAGAATTTACTGCTGTCACATCGATACTGCCATCCTCGTGCGTACCATATGCAAGGTGTTTGTTTGAAGCATCGAACGTAAACGATACTGATTAAAACCAAAATTAAAATGTCGCCTGAACATTTTGATTAGATTACAATTAAACTATATACGGCGTGAGAACTTCCTCGGGAAGGGGATATCGTAATTCAGTGAATACATGTGATAGCGTTGATTATCTTGGTATCGAATCATAATGGCTATTTATCAATATGAAAATTAAATAACACTTATATTTAAATAATCATTCAAGCTTCTTGTATGTTCAGAGTTAAGGAAGCTGGGCGAAGCGTCGTGATTTACGAAAATTCAATGTCTTTCAAAAACTGCCGCGTGAGTATCATGGAGAAGTGGAAAGTGAAAAATGATTAGAAAAAATAAAGGAAAAATAAAAAGATTGAGAAATACGTTAGTCGATAGAGAACGGGGGATACTTGTCAAAGTAATTTTAGATGGTTCTATGTTTCAAATATTCATCCTTGCGTATTTCTTGTATTTAGTAATTCTGTGACAAATTTCAAGTCATGTTTCTTGTTCTGAATGTATGCGTATTCGAGTACTTCCTTCTTCGATACGCGCCAATGTCGGATGCACGATTTTCTGGGGATCTATTAGCGCGCTCTATAAATTATTGAACAGCCAATCCCAGTCATTTATATCTGTATGTATATGTATCTTTTTATATTCTTTAAAAAATCTAATAATTGATTGTCGAAATATGCACTTGAAATTTTTTAATCAAATGCTTGTTATAGGAGCACGTAATATTATTATGATTCCCAGATAATGGACTGAGAGTAAAAGGACGACCCGTTAGTAAGAAAAAAAAAGGAGACCAATAATAATAATATAGTCAATGTTTCTTAATGAATCTGGAATTTGAAAAATATCTTCCACGTTCTAATTGGTCTTTAATTAATAAGTTACATTAATAAGGAGCGCTTCGGAATTGCGTGATGCATAGCATGTCCAATGCGTGATCGCAGGGAGAATTGAAATTCTTTTGAAAGACATTGTCAAGTGCACCTGTCACAGTGAAGTAAAAATTATCTTTGGAGAAAAAAATATGACCGCTAGAAATTCTGGAACATACCATATACGACGTGTAGATGTGAAAAAGTGGCACATCCATAAGGTTCCTTTTACTATCAATCCTCGTGTTTTTAATCCGATGCGTCGAATAAAAGAAATTAATTAATTAACACTAATTGTATGTGTTGTTCATGATAACCATTGCTGTGAAATCTCTTTGAGACATCTAGACATTTTAAGTAATTACAACTTCTCGTTAAATGTTAATAACGGACGTGCGATGATGGTATTTACGTCAGGCCTCATCTGGTATACGAATGCGAAGAGACGAAAAAGCAAAGAAAAAGCCAAAAAAGAAGAAAGAAAGCAAATGAAAAATGTCTATTATTCCCTAATTCGCAAAGATACTCTTGTAACTATTTAAAATTAATGCGACTTCTTTATCGCAGGGTAATTTGTCGAACCTTGCACTTTTGCTTGTAATAATTTAAGAGCGTTATAATTTAAAGAAATAATTATTACCTAAGCCGGTACTTTTTGATGTTCGTCTCACTGTAAATCAAAAAAGTGCGTTTGCCACCAGAGATTGAAAGGATAACGAGGAGCTTTCCACATTCCTTCCCAAGGATTCTAACCTCTTGATAAGAACATCCTGTTAGCATATCAGTATTTGAAAAATGGACAAGCAAGTTTCGCCTCTCTCGTTATCACAGTAAATCCTAGTCGCAGCTATATCATATCGTAGGATGACAGGGAAAAAAAAAAGAAACATAACCGTAATCGCGACATACAATGTTTTTCAGTGACGAAAGGCTTCTCGTTACCTTCCCACGATATTTTACGATTAACGTTAACGTGTACGTTGTTGGGTAAAGGATATGGTGAATTTAAAATTATTATCACCTCATTAATTGCACGTCGTTCCCTCGAAGTGACTAGTTGCGCTGTAGAAATAATTCTCTTTTTTTTTAAATTCTAAGCGAACGAATGAATTAATATGAATTTTCAACTCCTATCCAATTAAGTATATAAGTCATTCGATAACGTTTACGAAAGCATACTGTCTCTTCGTTCGTTGCGGACTTAGAAGAAGGTGATTAGTCGTATGAAATATTTATTGAATAATTTTTTGAGATAAACGGGTGATCGGTGGAGGAAGATAAATTTTTAAAATCGTTGGATTTAAAGGGTGCGAATAAGAGAAACGGAAGTATGGTTTCGTTCAGAAATTTCTGAACAAAGTGCTCTTGCATGCCATCTCGCTTGTAGTACGAATCCAAGATGAAAGTTCGAATGCAAGTGACTCTAGATCGTAATATACACAAATTGGTATATTATTATCAATATCATCAGGCCTAATATACTTAACGTTACGTATGTGTATTTGTTGTTGTTGCTAATTCATATCTTATATCCAATATTAAATATTTCGTCTATCGATTTTCAATGTTATACATCATTTAAAGAAGAGTAATATCTACACTACATTGGCAGGCGGACATGGCCGTCTCTTTGGTGGTCTTTGAATCAACGACAGAAATTGACAAAAAGAAATGGGGACGGATGATCGAAGAAAATTCGAGTGATAGTGAAAAAGAGAGAAAGAAAGAGAGAGAGAGAGAGAGAGAGAGAGAGAGAGAGAGAGAGAGAGAGTGGAAATAAAATACACGGAAGATCGAAAACAAATTAAAAAATATCATATTTATTCGTTAACAGACAAGACTGATATTTTTGACAGAGACAAAAATTTTTCATTTTCAATTGCGTCGCATCCACGAACTATGGATGCTTATGTAAAATGCGAAAACCGAAAAATTAATTCACTGCGTTACCACTTCGGACCTGCGTCTTTCTATAAGAGATTATCCTCGATACTCTGACGGAGTATTGTCAAAATTTGTATCACTATGAAACTTGTAACTGTATCTTTTTAAGCAATTTAATAGATTTAATTGTCTGTAACAATAATCTTTAACTCGTTTCATAATGTCAATTGGTATTGCACCTGTCATCATAGTAACGTATGCATTATGAAAGAAGCGTCGTCAATAACACTTAATCGTTGTTTCGTTTCCTTCATAATTTCTCTTAGCAAGATCGTTATCGTTGTCATCGGGCAAACGTTGAACAATTTTAATTGTTATTCCACAGAAAAACAATTAAGCTATGTGTACGTTGAACACGCATTACCCATCGAGTGAGAAATGTCACGTAAATCGAGAGCAGCTGAGCAACCTGAAGTTGCTCAATATGCGCGAGATTTAAATATCCGAAATGGCTGTCTCGCTAGCGTGACACCGGAACGTTGCAATAATAATGTAATAATATTGTAAGAGTCGTGTGTTAATAAATACTGAAAAAGATAACGAGGAACAATGAGGAGGGAACGATAAACAGCTGGTCTTGCTAGGAGATGACGACGTTAACTCATTTTATAATTAATAATATTGCCAATATGCGAAAACAATGTGTCTTCGACTTCGAGAGAAAGAAAATCATGAAAACCGAATCTCAATAATATTCTGTCTTGTTTGTTAATATAAGATATTAAATATGCCCAGCTGCATTCATAGAGTTTGAGAGAGGGGGGGAGAGAGAGAGAGTGAGAGACAGCGTGCGTTTTAGAGAGATAACAAGAACGAGAGATAAGCGTGAGTAAAAGAGAGTGAGAATGCAAGGAAGAATGAACGATAAGGAAGCACAAAAAAAAAGTAATATTGGGAAAGAAATATCCTGCATTTAACGTATTTAAGACACGGGATTATACATCTTTACTAAGACTAAACCGACGTGCTGCCTTTACGACTTTCTTACTAGAAATTCAAAATTCGATATTTTACGTTGATCAACGCCCAAGTTCAGATTCTCTAACGTGGCCGCTCAGTATCAGATACTGCACCGCGACGGACCAGTATATACTTTTAGGTGCTTGTAAGATCATAATAAAAAAGAAAAGGTAATAAGACAAAGTTACTTTGAAAATGATGAAAAATTTAGAAACGCACTCGTACGATCGTATAACGTGTGCACTACGTTGCATTCATTGTAAACTTTAACTGTATCAGTTGCAGGCAATCTGTTTTAATCATTTTGAGATAACTACATGTCTGATACTACACATGTTTGTGTACTTTAGATTACTAATTATTTACTTACTTACCGACTGTGAAGTTTATCCGATGGACTCGATTTGTAATTCTCATTTGAAAACGTGTCTTTGTTTGATTCGACTACTCCCTGTAATACCGTTGAACAAATGTATAAGATTCTTCTGTTCTTACACGCTTTTGCTAGAGCAATTACGAGTTTGCTACAATCACACAAATATTCTACTCGAGTACCTTGAACGGGAAAGTCACAAGCTTGCTCATTGTCTGGTGTTCTTCCAACTTGCAAATATATACGTAAATTTAATCCAATTTCTCCTTGTTAATCTATGTCAATAACAACTCAACTTCTAATGCGCTTACTTGAGATACTTTTCAATTTTCTTCTTTCAATTTGCTTTTTCAATTAAATTGTTTGACGGTCGTGCAAAGCGTTACTAGAATGTTAATCTGGATTTACCGCTCTATTATCGTGTTATAGATAAATAGTATATACGATCTAGTATGCGCGATGTCTTTAGGCGATTTGAGAATAATTAATAATCGCTGTTCAACTTACGATTGAAAAAGGGCCCGTAAAAGTATGACATAACCAAGAAATTCAAAAGGCGGTTTTTGCTTTTTGAATTGCGAGGCGCCATTTGAGGATAAGAAATATTTGGATATGATAATAGACGTGAGATAAATGAATACGTAACAAAGTGGGATAATTCAAAGGAAATGCGTATTTCGACCTTTAACGGTTGAACGACGATGTAATAATTTTTGTTAATGAAAGATTAGAGCGGTCAAACCAAGCGAGTACTAAAATCAATTCTGTATAACGTGACACATCAATTTAAAACGTTTGGTACTGTTCGGTCAATTTACATGTACAAAGGACAATGATGCATATACAATATGTATTTATCACGTATATGTATTTTAAGGCATCGATACTATCTGACCTTTAATTTATTATTATAACGATGTTCAATATTTAGCTGAAAAGAAGTACAAGAGATTCGCTCACAGTCGTTCGTTAATAGCGCATTTAAAAATGGCCGATGAAAATGTTACTACCTGATTAACGAGGTGGAGAAAATAACATGGAGTCTCGATAAGAATTCAGAGATTGCAGGATGCGAGTGCGAGAATTATGATATTAAAGATAGATGATTTTCGAGCGTGAAGAATCGAGGATATATAGATTAATTTTTTTATTTCTTTCTTCCTTTCAGCTGTATATACGTATTTTTGGCCATGCGGTTGTAACATGTAAAAGATATACGAAGTGTCTATACTGCCAGGGGTGATTAGAGACGACTATGCGTCCGCAGGATTTAAATGCGACGCCTCGAGCAAGCAGAAAGTAATGGCAATTAAGAAGAATAAATAATTAAGAAAAAAATAATTGAAGAAATGAATAAAAAAAGGGCCACTTGTTGCGAAATCTATGAATGTAGCTATGTGTCTCTGGATACACATACTCGCTGTGTTCTTCAGCCGATCCTTTTTCAATTTGAAACTCAATCATTACTTCGGATGATTGTTATCAATGTAAATTATATGTATTTGAATCATTATTATCGATTATTGTATTGAAATTACTATTCGAAGTATTATTGTGCTAATATATAAACTGGCTTTATTGGCCACTTATTGGGAAAAAAAATAATGTGACTCTGGATACTTCATTCTTGTTCCTTGCCTTCAGGTATGATATTGTTTGAGCATTTGCTCATTTTACATTTAATTATTTATTGTCGGTGATTTATTACATGCAGATTGTGTCACCGCTTCCATGACACTGTGCTTCAGGTGAGATTTAACTTTTGTGATGTAAAAAATATGTTCATTAGATTGCACAGTAATTGTAAAACAGTATCGAATTTTTTATAATGTATTTTCTTGTATACAATTTTTCTATGTCACTCAACGTATTTCTGATTCACCTTTTACAGTATTTACTCCGAAATTTTGTACAATAAATTATTTTCGTGCGAATGATCATTGGTCAAATAATAATTTCACAAGACTGGGACCTCGATGAAAAGTACATGAATAAAATGTTCCATAGTAAATTATTTATCAAGTACATACTATTCTTAAAGGAATAATTTTGCAAGCTTTGATATAATTAAAGACACTTCGATACCGTCCTAAGGTCATTTTTGTATAATATACACAATGATTATGCATTGTAATCCACAATCGATGAGTAGAATGACACAAATTAATATTTTCAGTTCTTTATACAATTACAGTCACTCTGTGTTACTATCGTCCTCGGTATATTTATCATTTTTAACTTCTATCCTGAGTGGTGAACGTCCTCTAGTATGATTTCCCAAACGTGATCGAAGATCACCACCCTTCAGTGTCTCCCTCAGATCTCCTCTCGTTGAACGTCTAAAATTAATTATGCTAATTGAATTAATTAAATAATTTAGACATTGCACATAAAACTTTTAAGAACGATTAATAGTTACCTCTGTGCTTGAGAAACGTTGTTAGCTTCGCTCTTGACGTTATTTAGTCTGGCCCAGACGGTAGATGCGACTCGAGGTTTGCTACGTTGAACAACTTTTATCACACTACCCTTAGGTCCCTGAATTTCTTTTTCCGACAATTCACTGTCGTCATCTTCTTCATCTTCATGAACCTCTACGTCCTCTTCCTGTTCCTCATCTTCCCATTCTCCCTCCTCTCTTTCATCAGTTTCAATTCTCTCCTCCACGATTTCTCCTTCCTCCTAAAGTAACGTTCGTCATGAAATATACCTCGTGCTATGTTTGTTAATATTATTTTATATTAAAGTGAAATTTTTATTTACCTCTGAATCTCCATCTTTCAACGAGTTGAAATTACTGACATTTGTATTCGTAACGACAACTTGAATCGCGTTTCTAAATTGTGATGTGTTTCGTGATCTTCCAAGTCGAGAACGCAAATCTCCACCTGCATTCAATGTACTTGTCATCTGCAAGAAGATTAAAGGCTGGATATATTGTACCTTAATATATATATTTGTAAAGCTTGTAGCTCAAAATATTTTACTTACTTGACTCCGAAGCTGAGAACGACGTTTTTGTACTTTTTCCTCCTCGTCATCAGCGTGCATACGCATTCGGAGTACTTTACTTCTTTTACACCAGTCCTCTTCATGCTCACTGTCAGATTCTTCATCAGATTCTTCCGATTCCACTGGAACATCTTTTGGTTGAGTTTTAATTCCTAATCTTTCCTTTATGCTGCCACCATAATCGGTGTTCTTAATGGGATTCTTATTAATAAAATCATCCTCCGTGGAATCGTTTACGCCCCAAGATTGAGATAGAGCACCCCATGGGTTTTTTGTACGTTTCCCATTCGTGTTATCATTTTTTGATTCTTCCTTCGGTCTTTTTTTATTCTGTCTGATTTCCTTGTACATTCGTTTACGTGATTCCGTCAGAATTCCCTTTATACCTATAAATGTTTTTAAGACAGGTTTATAATGTTTTTAGATCTCGCTCAATATATATATTTGTTACCTCCAAAGTTGGGATTTCCGTATTTCTTATAATATTCACTCATTTTCTCAGCATTTGGACGTTTCTTGTCAGCTCTTGTCGCAAACCTCAAAAGAATACCCTTGGATTTTGGATAATCTATTCCCTTTCTCCAAAGACCAGGAGGCAAGGGACAAGTGATGTCTTTTATATTTATTGAATTTTCATCCTTTTTTTCATCGGATTCTATTGCTGAGTCACCCTCAGAAATAACTTCGACAACACAATCATCATTGGCCATATTATTTTCATTATCGAAACAGCTTGACTCGCACTTAAGATCCTTATCAGCCTGTACTTTTTCACCTAAACCCTTGATTTTTTTGGACAACCTCAATAAAGCTCTAGCTGGAGATACAGTATCCAACCAAACAACATTGCCTAGATGATAAAAATATATTTGCATTTAATAAAAAGACATATATAATATTAAATAAATTATCAAATAAAATACGCACATGACACGTCATTTATCCATTCTATAGAAGCTGGAGCATAATCCTCAAAGTACTTAAAAACATCTTTGGTACTCATTTCTTCAGTACCTCTCATGTGTATAGCATTTAATCGAAGATTTTTTGTACTCTCATTTTCTTCCACAATCCCCATACTAAAATTATTTTATCGTGAGTAACGAACATATCTAATAATAACAATTCCAATGGAAATTAATCAATTTCAGCTCAAGTTAACAATCACCTAGAGTACAAGTCCTGATCTTCGTTATCAGAGGTTTTTACTTTATCTGTTAGACCAAACCTTCTCGCTCTCTCTTCCATTTTCAACTTTTCTTCTTTACTGAATATGTCTATACCAGTTGTAAACGTTCCACCGCGATTCTCGTATCGCGTATCCTGAAACTTCAACAAAACGGAGTATAAACATAACTTGGAGGAATTGATTAACAAATGAACTGAAAAGCAATGACAGTCTAACTATCAAAGAACTATTATAACAAATAGTTAAAATATTATGTAAAAAACAAACATCCTACCTGTGGAGAAGTACTGATTTCATTTTTTAACTCGTTTGAATCGTTTAACTTTACATTCGACTCGGCAGGTTCCTCAACTTTCTCTACATCCGTAAACGGAGTATCTACGTCCATTGGTTCTTCAACTTGATTCATCTTTAATAACAATATTAATTTGTTACTATACCCGACACATAAGAATGGAAATATTGCTCTGTTCAGCTGGCCTCAATACGAATGTTATTTCGTAAACAGTAAATGCAGTGCTTGGTGTAACAAGCAAGTAGGTTAAGATTTACAAATATTAAACGTTCTCCAAGGTATCAATTTTGACTTTTATAAAATCACAATTCTCCCATACTTTCGTGGCGTTCTTGGTTCAAGGAAACGATTCACAAGAATCAGTCCAGTTTTCATATTGAAGAAAGCACGTTATTGGTTGTGTAAGAAAGCACCAACTGATCAATAGCCAATAGCTTATCCCTCATTTTGTGATAAGTTTCCTTCATAATTTAGTTATAAGTTCATAGAATAGATGGATACATAATTTGTGAAAAAGTTGTACTTGGAAATTTGAACATGTATCGTGTAATATAATATATTGCATGCACCTTCGATCAATCCAGATATATAGCATGTATTTACTGAATATTTATACGATTTTCGCTCATCACTATCCGGATTCGGTGTACCTATAAGCTCTGTAGGTTCCCCACTCACTTACATATAAGGCCCGTTTGGGCCCGTCTTGTGAAGTATATCGCCATCTAGTGTGAACTTCCAATCCTGATTACATAGAACCAATTACTGGGCACATGTCCCACATGAGGATACAGCCATAAGGAAAGGGAGAAAGGAAGGCGCGTATTTACAGTCAGTTACATGTTACTTTAATACAGTGAAATAAACATTTTTATTACTGTTAAACGAAGCAAATATACAAAAATGACAACTTCTGCTGATGTCGTGACGGTATGTATTAGTCACATTAACGTTTCGCATATGCAAATTACATGTGAAACTTATTATAGTCATATTGTATTGTCATATCTCATAAATTACTTCCATTCAAATAAATTAATATTCTCTTTAGATGCGAATGCAGTCGTACCTGTGTCTACCTTTGGTACAACGTTGCAGAGAAATTGCTATTTTAATTGACGAATCGAGTACTACAGAACTTCAACATGTTTTTCCAATACTCATTGATTCACTTTTTGGAATTACCGATAATGTTGGATGGGGACTACATACTATTAGTATGAAAAGCAATCTCCAGGAATATGAAATATTATGCAATTTTCTTAGTCCTCTAGGACCTATTTTTTCACTATGCTATAAGCTACTACCGGATTGTTACTTAAAATATAATTTTCCAGTAACGTATCTACCGGTATGTATAACTACAATTTATTACTAGATTTTTCTTATATTTGAATTATTGAATGAATTGTTTGATTCACATAGTCAAAGATACGTCTCATGCTGGACGATGGAATTATACCACCATTCTATTCCGATAAAATCAGAGATGATCACAGCACACGTGCACCATTGGCTCTATCTATGAGTATCCTTTTTATAAATACTGAGGAACTAAGAATCTATGTACAATTATCTGTTATTCAACTTATTGAACTAGTTAATTTAATTGATACAAATAATTTCCTTATAAAAACACATATCCTTTCGAGTATTATATATTCCACTTTGCTTATCATCTTACAAATCCCTGGCTGCAACTTCAACACCAAGAAAATGTTTGGATGAACTGGGAAACAGTATATGTTCAATTAGCACACTGCTATTTGTATCATTTTCTACCAAGAGACAATTCTCCAGTGTTACCTATCATTGGACCATATGTAAAGAAAACACCACCAAGGAAATTAATGCAGTCACCTGAATCAAAAAGGTATGTTAAATACAATCCTGAGTTAATCCAGCTTAAGAATCATATTAATCTGAAATTTCTAGGGATTTTAATAGGTTACAAACACCACGTCTTCTAAGAACATCAATATTGTCTCCAGAATCCACAAGTCCTACCAATCGGGTACCTCAACAGCAATGTTTACCACAAGTGTGGCGCAGTGAAACCATTGTCCAAGTATTTCTTGATTTCTGGTTGGAATATACAGAGGTGGATCAACTGACCCCTCATAGTGGTAGGCCTTTAGCTTCCTCGTTACCTCCTAGAGTAAGTAACCATACTACTATTTAAATATTGTATCATTGTTCATTCAATATATACTCTGATTGTTATAATCTTGTAGAACAGTATTCATTCAGGAGAACACATTCGTCTTGTAAGAGCATTTATTAAAACCTTACACGAATTTGCTAATAGCGCAGTTGGTGATAAAAGCGCGATGGATGAATTAAAAAGGTAAATAGTGCTTAGCATAATACGTTATAACTTAATACTTTATTATTATTTATATCGTAGGGTAATTCTTCCATCAGTCCAGGGTAAAATTTATACATTTTTGCGAAAAGCTATTCATCATTGGCCACTCGATAGCTCTTTTAGACTAATACTAGAAGCTTGGCTAAGTTTCATTCAGCCATGGAGGTACATTCCAGGTGTAGCATACACAAAAGAAGGGTGTGTAAATAATATTCAGTGACTGCAATACTATAATCCAATACTCAGTTTTACAAACTCTTAAACTGAATGTTATTTCTAACAGGAAAGCTGACGAAGAAGAAAGGGGTAAAATTCATGACGAGTCCAGATGGATCTCATTTGTTGCAAACAATTTATTAGCCTACACAGCAATCTTCCGACAATTATTACCTCGGTTTATGAGAATTGATCTCATAGCTCCGAAGAATGCTCTAATGTTGTTTCGAGTTACTAAGGTAACATCACAAGCATATAAAATATTTTGTATATTACTTCAATAATATATAATACTACTGAATTTATTCAAGGTATTTTCTCAACCGCACTTGGCAAAAATGTTATCTGAAATTGAAAGCTGTATGGACGATTCTAATTTAAGCAGAAGTAAAATGTCGACTAATCAATGGACAGCTATTGTACGCCAACAGATTTTTGATCTGGAAGGCCCAACATATCAATATGTTCCAATGTTCTCACAAACTACTGTATCTCAAGTTATGTGGTTCTTAAGAATAATAAAACAGGCGCATTTAACGGCTACAAGTTTAGTCGAGGCTTTAGAAAAGCGACGAACGGCACGAAGATTTTTAATGTCTTTGTGGGAATTCATTAATGGCGAGGATTATTCTGGAGATGAAATAAGCCTCGAGGAAAGACGTCGTGTACCCGTATATCTTGCCAACGCACAGCAACAACTTATAGATATATTCCAGGTAGAGAGGAACTTGTGATACTGAATTGTATGCAACTATACAACAATATTTTTTTTCCTTAGATCAGACTCGAAGATATTCCTCAAGTTGCCATAGTAGCTGATCAGGAATATCATGACAGTATACTATCCACATCGTTTCATCATCAGTCTCAGGTCAGCGATCATGTAATTATTTTTTAAAAATATGATTTTATTGTTATAATTCTTTATTCAATAGATGGACATGAGCCTAGATTCAAGTAGACCTGGTGTCTATGTTCCTGTACAGGAAGGCAGACAGAATTGTAGATACGTTGAATACATGGGTGATCCTGAACTACAACCAGTGCGTACAACAGAAATAGCATTTTTGGTCAGAGCACTGTTCAAATTGTGTAATTATATCAATACAAAGGTAATTACAATTAGAAACACTTAATCAGCTTGAAGTAATATCGAATTCTTTCCAAATACATTTAACTGGAAAATCTGCTTTATGATTTTTAGTATCGTTATGAATTCACTGCAGTATACAACAGAAACGATTTTGTTGGAAGACTTGTACGACAAATCCTACAACCTCCTACAGTGGTAAAAAAACTTCCAAAGCGAACAACTCACGGATTTTCATCGAGTTACGAGGAACGAATTCCACCAAGAATCAGTCTACGGCGCTTTGCCAGTCACAGTTTTGTGACTGTCATGTTCCTTGGAATGTTTTCCTTCTGGCTGATTGGGTACGTTTTTGACATAGTCTGTTTATTCAATTTCTTGATATGTACTGTACAAGTTATATTGTGAAACAGTTACGGCATCACAACATTCTTCGGACTCGTTCTCTGCATCTGGATACTATACGTAATTGCACGAGCAACGTGCGAACCCTGGATACGATCAGATATGCACAATCTGAGACCAAACGCATCAGCATTTTTAAATTAGATAATGAAATACATTACATAACGACTGACACTCCGATGAATCAAGAAATAAAGAATACAGACATTATATATATTTTTGGACCACAGAATTGTAAATGTAATAATTTGTAATTTTCTTAAAAGAACTTAGAACGTGAATCTCTTTTCTTAATTGAAATTTCAGTGAATTTCAATGGACTATTCCAAGCTCCCATAATAAACCGAGGATCCATTCCGCTATCGATGTATTCCTCAATTATATAGAATAATCTATAATTATGGATCCTGCAGTGACTCTTCCTTGATATTACACAAGCCTCCACCTTTCTTAACCGACATAGCTACAGATCTTGTCTCCCCGCCTTCGGAGCTGCTCGTCAGTTCATCCTATTTAAAATGATAAACGTAACGTTGTCCGACTATTTGAATAATTTTAACTTACAGACATGGACAGCTCATGTTCATCATACTCACTCTCCTCGTCCTCTGAGTTGGCAGCTCTTTGCAAGTAGAGCTTAACCTACCACAAAGAGTTCAATGCTATAAAATGAAAGAGATGTATAATCCACCCTAAGAAATATTTTATAGAACCTTGCGAATACTCTTCAGTGAAGATAAACTTGAGCTTCGGACTGGTTTTGAGAAACTGGTAAATATATCTTCTGGTACCGGTGGCAAGTTAACAACACTACTGAGATCAATTAGAGAATCTCTGGACCAATTCTCTGGATATTTCTCATCAACTTCCGATTTGAAACTGCGAGCACTGCTGGAGTGTGGTAACGAGAAATTCTGTTCAGTGAATTTCTGTCTTGTTTCGAGGTTACGTAAACGTTCGTTAATAGCAGTAAGGTTGACAGTGTTCAGGTCGTTATTCAGAGAAACGTCAACGTTCTCAAGATCGTCTATATCGAGCAACTCCTTCTCCAGGACAACGAGGAGTCTCTCATATTCCTGACGAAGACTTTGAATGCTCTGATCGTTAGGCTGCACCGAGTTCAAGTGACGAATGGCATTCTTTACAAAACGTTGACTAAGCATTATAAATGTTTTTGCAGAATTGTGCATGCTAGAGATCGCCCTGGATGCTCGCACTGCTAAACTTCTCAGGTAGCAAACATACTTCTCGCCAGCCTGGGCACGATCCCGTAGATCCATACCCATCTCAGTGACAATTATAGCATTGTAAAGAATTTGCTCGTGATGACTTCTCAACCCGATTAACTTTGCCGTTGGACTAACCATTGTTTTTTTCGTCAACGATGGACACCAGGTCGCATCGATAAAGAATTTCAGGCGTGAGTTCTTTGCCCGTTTTAACTTTTTTAAATATATTTCCTAGATTATAGATATGCGCGTGACTATAGTCAATTTTGCTGCTATCCTTCCTTTATCTTTACAGGACTATTTCAGATTCAAACGCATAGTTGGCGCGCCGCTAAACATAAGCATGCGCAAACAGTGAAATGCTTTTGTTGTACGATTGTGAGATTATACTTCATAGGACGCTGATAACCTCTCATGACGCGTTGTGTTACTTTAATTTCGTCAATAACATATGCGCACTAACGTTGGAAAAAGGTTCATCGCACTCGTACAATTGGGAATTTTCTTTTTCGCAATACAGGCGAGCCAATCATTACCGCGCGACGCTACGAAGTCCAGTAAATTATCCAAGTGAAAAATGCGTGCAGTGATTCTGGATACTGGTATCCATCGATATTATACTCGTATTATTATTACCCGTAAAAGCGTACAAGTCCGTATTCAACAGAAGCCGGTTCGTTACCGCTCTCATTGTGAGCATCCCTATCAAAAGTACAAAGTCACGCGAGAGGGCGAGAGAGGCGTCGCGTCGCGTCACAACGCGTAAGCGGAAGCCGTACCGCGTAACTCGTAAAGAAAAAAAATAGCTATGATAAATCCAAACAGTAACGGAGTACATAATACACGTCTCATTATAATAAAAAACAATATCTTCAAGACGACGCACAGCGTCGCAAGCTTTTTAATTGGGTCTCGTGTCACCAGTCACCAGATCCTTCTGTATCATCCTAATATATATTCTAACCTTACGTGCTCATGGCAAACTCCAAGATTTATTGCGTCTCACGTCGCTGACCTATCTCCCATTACTTTTCTATGCTACAATCCAGTACAAGGCTTATTATTTATCAAGACCTACCCTTGCTATTCAACACTGTCCTGGTTTCTCGCATTACATCTTTCACAGGAGCCTCTTATGTATTTATTGTTTACCATCCAGCAGGATACGAGCCAAGTTCCCTTTCACGAAAGAAAGTACGATATGCTCTAATTGAATTCCTAAGACAAACAACAGCCTTGGAAGTAAATTGATTGTACGCACTGCTTTCGGAATTGGTTAGACCATTTCATCGGACCACATCCTTTGGGAAAACTGTCTAACCTTGCCAATTAGGATTTACGAGTTTCCTAATTCCTTAATAACTTCTATCATCGTATCCGTGCTTTATTTGTCACGGATTTTCACCCTGGATTCATTACTGGGTATGTGGCAATCGATGCGAACGTGAAATTCCTTGGTGGAACGTGGACTCCTCACTGGTACAGAAAAGTAAACCCCTACACTGATCCAGTCATAACGAATGGCTTCTATCCCGGTTTACACCCAGCAATTTGACTGTGGAAATTGGATGATTGGAGATTACATGACAAATAGCGTTATCAAAGATATCTGAAGGGGATAGAAGTATGGGATATTTTTTCATCTTCTTGAAAAATTTCCACCATATCCTGCACCATACACTTGGTATATAGGACATGTACTGTCCATTCTCATTTGCGTGACAGTAAACCACTTGTCTTAAATTATGCAAAACATTAATGAGGTATTCGTGTCTAAGTAAGGTCGGAAAAATGTTTTCGTATATGAAAATATATGTGACCCTTATGTTTATACACTTTAACAGCATCATCCGCGTATATTTACAAGCCATCGAAATTGATCCTTTTACTAAGCAGAACTTTACCTCATCTGCCTATTAATGCCATACGCAGAACAATTAAGCTTAAAAGGAGATTAATATACTGTAGAAAGTTTATTCTCTCCCTTAGATCGATCGATCATCACGTAACGTCGACAAGCGGCGTATTAGAACGTAGCCTCACTCGTAAACTGTAAGACATCCCAAGGTAAAAAAGGCTGTGTGTCACGGGGATACTGTAATCCGAGCTTTAATACAGGTTGACTGTTTGCAGTCAACACGAGGTAACTATGCCTTTGCTATATGAATTATATTTACCAATGCGTCTTTTACTCTTCAGTATAGCGTAAGTGCTCAGTTGATAATAATCTAACCAAATTTCGTATAATCTAATAGAACAATGCAAAAAAATTAATTTTATCCACGTACGACATCGCTTACGTAAAAAGATACCCATTTATGAACTCCAATGAATATACAAGGTAAATACAAATATTTTTGTTTTAAATCAACAGTCCATTTATCCAAGCATTAGGCATATATGAAATAACCAAACATATCTATGTAGAGTTTGTATTGAAACGTCAGCGTGCATGACGACTGTCGTTTTCAATTGAAATATCGTATTCACGCAAAAGGACAGTGGATCACACACAGAGCAAAAGGCTATGAAACTACCGTCGGAACGCCCGCCTGGTATTATATCAGGAAGGCTGATGGCGTACGGTAGGCATTCATGTTCAGATTGCGAGTGATGCCTTTATGCAATGTCAAATGTTCTGTTATATTCTAGTTAGAAGCAACGAGTCGCTCTGAATTACCACGAGTAGTCTCGTTGGCCACTCGTTAAGCTGGCATGACTACACCCGGCATATATCGCTGTGACTCATGGTCAGAATGATCGATAATTAATGAGGATATGTCGCCTCGGGTAATTAGTCCTTGACGAGAGAGTAGCATCGTCCTGAAATTAATTAAAAACAAAAATGACAATTTTTTCTTGATAATTTTTTGTTTGTTACAGAACTGACAAAACGTCACTGTGCATATACATACATTTGATGTACTCATCTTATTCGGTGGTGCTCAGCCACTGTTTCAAGCAAGAGGTACAGGCCCGAGCTGGGATATTGGAATTATTGAATATTTTTGAGCAACATAAATTAATCGACGTCACTGTGCCAAAGTCCAGGGGACAACGAAGACTTTTTGACTCGGTCAGTCAGCCACCATTGCGTTCGTTTATCGAACGTGCTAGAATTAATGAATCGGAACCAAAGTGGTAGAGTAAACAGAATCGTCATAGTGAGTATATATGATTATAGTGGGTAATCGAATGGGAGACTGTAAGAAAAGGTCGCCGAAGCTGCTAATAAATACCAATAATGAGATTACAGTCAAAGAGACAATTGGGAAATCTTTCTAATTTTTGGAAAGCTCCATAGAATCTCATGGCTCTTGTGAATTTATTGTAACGACCAACGTGACTTCCTATGCTTGCCTTCATGTTGATCGACACGGTGAACCCTATTTTTTTCATTGCTTTGTACCGAAGACGTATACTGACACCATGGGACTAATTAAATGGTGGCGCCAGTGAGCAGCTAGACTAATTATCCAACTTTCCTAGAGTCCTGTAGAGAATATTTATAGTGACAGCCCCGCGGTTATACTTTCTTGTTATTCCAAACTGAACTGCAACAAGTCGTATTTCACTATCACTTTTCATTGGAAATTCGAAGAAATAAGGTAGCACTAATCATTTACCTTATCACGTGATAACGAAATAATTTTTTCGTTAACTCCGTTCATTTCCTGTGGGCGGATGATTCCAATGAATTTATAAGTCTCGAATTAACGAGTTAATTTTTGTATGGGTATCATATAGATATAACAATCTTCGCTTGACACGGTTTTAATCGAATTATATTTGACTCTGCGATTATCTATGAGAAAATAATATATAGTGTGACCAATATAGGTTAGGTATTAGCACAGACTGATATATTAGATGAATCGTTTTTATACGTACGTGCAATATATTGTATTGTTGGTATATTATATATCTCATTGGCGCCTCTACCCCCATAAGCTGAACTGCTTCCACCACCACGACCATAGCCAAGGCCATTGCGTCCGCGTGACAGGAGAAACAGTCAGTAATACCACACGGGGTTGTGAAGTCAGACGTTCCAGAACCGTTAACCCCGGCCAGTAAGGAAGTGGAGTGAAATCCTAAAAGTAAATGACAAGCTCTACAGCAGTGTGCGAGTTCGATTATTCCTTTATAAAATATTAATAATCATTATAATCTGAATTGTGCATGTAAGAAGGCTCTGATAATTCAAATTTAACGGCACCCTTAATGATTCCTTCTGATTGGCTGTCGGAGTCGATCCTCTACTGCCATTGGCTAATTTGTACCATAACAGCTCGTGCTTGTATTCAAATCTGTAATACGGATTAAAATTGTTAATGAACTGCATTCGATCATAGAATAATACAATACATTAGGACAATTGCTACGTAATTCCAATTACATGAAAACTGACCATATGTCCTATTGTCAATTCTGAAATTATAATATTCTGGGTTAACACTATAGAATCTCATCGTTGACAGTTTTATTAATGGATATTAGCTTGCATTTAAGTTCACCCGGCGCACTGGCTATCGTTCAAGCTGAGAAGTTCTACTGCTTAAAAGTTCTTAGAGGATACAGATTGCTATACCACGACACTCTTATTTCATTTTGTTTTTATCTTTTACTTTCTTCTAACTTAGAGACTGCAATTTGTCCAGGTCTTTTACTGGAAGTTAGATATTGAATTCTCGTCGACGTTGTTTCCTGATCTTATACACGTTACAGCTTTCAGCACTTTATACTCATCTTAACAGTTATTTGAAGTATGGTTGTTCTTAACTACTTTCAGTAATAAGCAAATGATATTTACTATGGAGTAACTATGTATCGGTAAACGGGTTGAGAATAGAATATATATCGGATATGAATATATTGACAGAATGGTGAGTAATCGTTTATCAGGACTGTGAACGATCTGTGATAGACAATGCTATATAATGAATCCCTCGCTAAACGGTCCCGTCTATATAATGATATGAAATACGTCTCGTATACAGCGTTTTCAAAGTGCGGATAAGATGACAAACAGTGCTGCCGAAATTTCGTTTATTCGCTATTATCGTGAAAAATAAAACTATTCGATAATATCCATGGATGCGTGGACTAATTCACCCGTTCCGCAGTGAGTACCTGAAGTTAATAGAAAAATAATAAATAGTGACAAAGTACTAATATCATGTGAATTTTTATAGTACCTGACGACCAAAATACTTAAAAGCTGGAAAATTACCTGCAAGAATTCCGTCTACTGCCCGCATCGAATCAACATGTTATTATGCACGTGGAAAACCCAGAAGTTTCCCAATGGCATCCTGAACTTTTGAAAACCTGAAATTGAATCCCAAGACATTTAAAAATCGTCATAATTTAATGGGCAACTAAATTAGACTTTCGTATACCTGACTTGGGGTTACCTGATGGAACCGACCATCTTCAAGAACAACCTTGGTTCACTATCCGTACCAGACGAACCAAGCAAAAATCGTGAAGGGTTAAAAATGTCATAAGAAAATAATGCGGACTCCAGCAAGTAAAATTTCAACATAATCGACACGTAAATCCTTCGGCCTGGCAGTCGTGTCTCAAGATATTCCAATAATACACTCCGCAGAAGAACCCCTAAGTAAATTTCAGGTTGGATTACAATGTTCCCCGTAGAAGCGATTCCTCCAAGTCTACAAAAGAACTCAGCCTGCTGGCCTCACCCGAAGAAATTACCAGTCGTGACACAAGACCCACCTCGCTATCGCGTGACCAGGACATTTAAAAAAAATAACAGTGTGTCAGTCCCTGATACATTACTTATTACATAGCATATATCAAAGGTGTAAAAATTGTATGAAAAATCATCGCCACACGAAGATGCACGAGTGTCAGCCGAATACTTCCGAAGAAAAGTATTAGGAAGCTAATATAAATTAAAAATAATAGCGAACGCGTTCTTCGTGCGAACGAGTGTGAATTCTAGTTAAATTATGAACGTCGATAATAACGAGACGAGATGGAATATTTAAACACAACCGAATTAGATAATTATTGTGATTATACTGTCCCGCTGAATACCACCTACGACAGCTACAGTATCGCCGATCTTAACGTCGTCTACGCCGTTTGCGAGATTCTCGTCGCAGTCTGTGCAGTCTTTGGCAACGGACTGGTCATCCTGGTCTTTGCCAGAGAACGGAAGCTTCGCAGACGCACCAATTACTACATCATCTCCTTGGCGACTGCTGACCTATTAGTTGGCCTCTTTGCTATACCATTTGCCATTTTGGCCAGTATCGGACTACCTACTAATTTACACGCCTGTCTATTCACCGTGTCGGTTCTAGTTGTACTCTGTACCATCAGCATCTTCTGTCTGGTGGCTGTATCCGTGGACCGGTACTGGGCCATACTTCATCCTATGGGATATTCTCGTACCGTGCGCACCAAGACTGCGATAGGTGAGCATAGATCATTAACTTCTTTCAAGTCTCATGATACCCGGTGACCTGCGAAAAAAATATTGTAACTCCAACAAATAACGAATAAACGAACATCTGCAAGGTTTCCCAAGGGAGATTCCTACCTGGTAGAAATTGTGTGAAGAATGATTCTGATAAAGCCACTCTGTAAACGCTTCATTTTTTTACAGTGCACTGATTACGCATATACAGTACGACCAGTTAACCCTCTCATAAATCTGTAGATAAGGTATCCATGAAAGTATTCATATTCCTAAAAAAGATAACATTTTAGGTAATATCAATATTATTAGTAACGACTGTAGCTTTTTGATTTTTAACTTGCGTTCTATTTTATCCACCCGGTATATACCGGTTCTAGCGTGCGTCGCTCCCTTGCGAATTAATTTTCCTGCACAGAGAAGTGTATACGTATGTTTGTATATGTTAAAAAGAACACCCTGATAAATAGTGCTTTTTCGAAGTTTCTGTACTTTACATACATAATACTCGTGTCACGCATATCTAACCCTGCGAGACCGGCCCGTAATACTGCACCTATATCCAATTCTAAGAAATTTTTGGTATACCCTCTACAATTCTAAAAATATCTAATTATTCCTACGGTATTTAGTATGTATATATATTCTTGTTTTCAAGCAAGAGATTCGAGGATTAAGAACTTTCTTTTTTATTTCGGGGTACCTTAATGGTACTACTTGGTATTAATCTGCCATCGTACCTTATAAAATTTATATAGCCAGTTCTCTTACAACGCGTGAATGCTGCTAGCGGAAGTGGAGGTATGGGTCCGATAAAGATACGTTATCACAAACGTTACCATTATATACATGCGCAAGGTCATCCAAGTATAATGAATACATTTTTATCCACCATTAAGAAAATTCTCACGTGACTTAGTAATCGGGTGATACGATCTTAGATGGATCCGCCATTATATATTCAGAGATACGTTCTTTAAGACTGTTTGTTATCTTATTTCTATGGCACGCCGCAAATTATTATAATAATTCAATGATAAATATTTTATCCGTAAAATATCAATTTTTCAATATAAAATTTAATCTATATCGATTTCTCAGTACTAATTAATCCTTGTCTGAGATACTGTCACTATCGATAATATACAATGTTTGTGGCTGTTATTAAAAAGTTTCAAGCCAATTTAATGATAGGTTTGAAAACAAAAATTTAGATAGATTAAAATTGATCTATTTTTAAAAAAACCCATAAGACTTCTTTATACGAGGCAGAAGTAATACAAATTGCTGTAGAACAGGATAAACAGAATTTTATCCAGAAATATTAGTTCAACGTACTCATTATCTCTTCCCAATTTTTTATCCTGTCTCGAGCAGCACTGTATCCTATGGTTCTTGTTACATTCGTGTTAATTAATTAATCTTTGCTTTTTATATTTCCAGGTATAATTTGCGTTTGTTGGGTGGCTGGTACTCTCGTAGGTTTTCTACCACTCCTGGGATGGAACGCAGGCAAGAAGTCCGACGAAAAGTGCATTTTCACTGAAGTCATGGATTACGATTATCTTGTCTTCCTTTATTTTGCCACCATTATCTTCCCGGCACTTTTGATAGCTGCTTTTTACGCTCATATATACAGGGTGGTCCTGAAACAGGTCAGTTGTGAAATTTGTATAGCACTATCGATAGACTCGGTTGATTCTCACGTCAAGTACAGGTCACGCACCGTCTGTGCCGTGGCGCCATCTGCGCTCGTAATCTTATTCTACAGTCATATGGTGCATTCCATAAGTAAATGTCTAGTGGTGACTTGGTAATATGGTTATTCGCGACGTTAAAACGCCGTCTAATAAATCCCATAAATTCTTGTCGATTAAATAACTACGATTGTCATGCTTAAGCAAGAAGCTCTTGCATTGTTTTACGAGTAAGATTACTGAACTCCTAGAATCTCATTGATATACCAAACAACTAAGAACCATTATCCTTGAATATACAAAACTAACCTCATATTATTCTACGTTCTAGAGCATTGTCCCTACTACATGGACTGTAGAATGCTCGATTAATCAGAAATAGGAAAAGGCATTTCCTAAACGTCAAGAATTTTTGAATATCATAGCCATTTCCTGTAATAAAACAAGTGCACGTCCTCTACTTAACGTTAAAGTGCTAAATGACATAATATCATAGAAATTTTATCTTGTCTGTCTCTGATAACTCTAGATTGGCTTATGATACCTAGAGGATGTAGCGTATCCTGTATACGTTGACGATGATGGCTTTTTAAGTTACGAAAATTTACACTGATAATTGAACTCTTCGTAGCGTATGTATATCGAGGAAAATGGTGTTTCAGTTGCAGCAAATAGTGACAATGAATCCAGGACGTCACACGGAAAATCAAACTACCGGAACGATGCTACGTCTGTTGGGTGCAGCGCAGAAGCGGGAAGTCAAGGCAACTCAAAATCTCTCCCGGATCGTAATATTCTTCATAATCTGTTGGTTTCCATTGTACACAATCAATTGCGTCGAAGCCTTCTGTCCGGATTGCAAGGTCAACGACGTCTTCCTGAACTTCTGTATAATACTGTCGCATCTAAACTCCGTGGGGAATCCCCTGCTTTACGCGTATCACCTCAAAGACTTCCGGGCAGCCCTGAAGAACTTCATGTACAAATTACTCTTCCCGAATAGCGACATCAAAGCCAGCGTCGTCAGCGTCGTCCACGAGAGACCATCCGTGGGTTCTCAGCACAATGTGCATCAGGTTTCACTGCCCTTGTCCTTCGGTGGCTACAAGCCTACTATGCAGAGGATTTCAGATATCAGGAATGCCGCCACGTCTGTCTCCAGGAACTCGACGATTTGCCGACGGGAGGATGCGAATGCTGCTACGGAATCTTCGCCAAGTGATCTTAGTGACAGACAAAAAATAAAGGCCAGTAACGTCAGTACCAATAGCAGTGAATTTAATCAGAATGAGAATCTTACAACAAATATTCAAAGTGATTGTGGTACCTCGGGACCGGTGACACCCTCCAAGCCATCCCCGTCCATGGAACTCCAAATATACAGAGCGCCCTTTGGCCAGCTCCTCCAGGAGAGGATCGAGGGGAATCCCAGCACGGGAGGAGATACCTCGTCAGAGTCCGTTTTCGTGATAGAGGCAGACATCAACCGCACGGCGTCCTCCAGGGAACGTCTCACGTCGGAACAGATCACACAGGATGACGAGAACGAACGTGAGGACTGATATGTAGGAAATATTAAAAGACGGAGAACTCATCCTCTGGGAAAACATATCAGATGGCATCTTGTTTACATTGGCAGATTCAATATTTCCTTTTCTTCTAGAATCCGTTATTTTATTTTTTGAATATGGTACACTACGTGGTACAAACGAGAGTTTTCTTTTTCATACTGCTGATCAAGACTGTACAAACTACTGACTGATAAATATTGCTGATGTTTCTTTTAATGCATATATAATTAATTGTATAGTATATGTAACAGATAATAATAGGATTTAAAGCTCAAATTTCTCGACTCATTGGAGAAGAAGAAAAAAGAAAAGATCTGGATATACTTGATGTAAGAGTATATACGGCATATAGCTATCAAATAAATTAATGCATGAGTGTATGTCTGTTATCCTTTATTTAATAATTTAATATAAGTATTGCTCTTAGCTACGTGCTAGTCAACCTGTAAAATTTCCAATCGTCCATAAACGAGAGGATACGATAATGCGGTAGTAGCGCATTCTACAGGATGCAGTCGTAAATTGATTAGGCATCGTTCCAAAGGTGAAGATCAAAATAAAGTAAATCAGCAATTACAGAGCACGTGGTCGTGATTCGGTAGTAAATGCGTGTTACCTAACCTAATCTACGTAACAACATAATGCAACAAATAAATTCTTGAGTATCGCGTAATGAAAATGAGCCTTTAGAGAATCAGTGACTATGACTTCTGTTTCAGTATTCTTTCTCCTCATCCACGTTATATTACTGCAATAATAACGTTATACAGCATGTAATTAATTAATTAATGGTATTCGTTACCCATTTAAAACCTGTTGGATGGGCCAATCGTAACATAACCTATCTATTACAGTACCCCCGTCCAGCCTGGAAACCTGGCAGATCAAGAGAAACAAAGTGGCTCGTTAGGATGAGTAGACGATCGGTCAGATATAACTTTATAGTAGTTAGTGTGGAAGTGGACAGACTGAGGATCGATACTACACATGATGAGGATTAGATGAAGTCTCTGGAGAGCCGTTGAGTATCGTCTTAATCTAGCCAAGTGGCAAGTCAATTTATGACCATCCCTGGTGGTTGAATTGGTATCCGTATAGTTAGCTCTTTACTATATAGTATACAGAGAGAAAGTGAGAAGAAGAGAGGAGATATATATATAGAGAGGAAGACAGAGAGAGAGAGAGCTCTCATTATTTCATAAAATGAAAAAACCGTACAGTAAGTATATGAGGGAATTCGGGTTATGTAATATATTATGTCATTGAATATGTCATTGTCATTTGTTGAATAAATTATCTTTAATCACTTATACACGTTGATATTCCTATATCTCCACCACTCTCCTCCTAGTATATCCTTAAAAACTAATTTTTTAAAATGTCTTTTGGAAAAAGAAAGGTTTAAAGTGTAAGAAAGTATGCATGTCTGCACTTTGTATACTGTATCATTATTACGTTTGTCGAATAAATTATCTTTAAACACTTATACACGTTGATATTCTTTTGCCCTATGCGAATATTCCAGAGTAAGAATGAGTTCTGTCTCTCTCTTACACTCCTCCGTCCTAACAGCATCCTTCTCCTTCTCCTGCAACCTTATGCTTCTACACCTCTTCTCGGCTATGCTGCATTTTCTCTGTCGTTACTTTCATTCCATCTGCATGTTGCAAAAAGTAAAGGGATTTTTTGAAAGTGCCCTATCGCAGTTTTATCTGTACCAGCGTGATACAGCTGAATTTCGAATTACTTTCGGAATTTTTTTATTGGAGAAAGTTCACTCGTTCTCTCAGAGATGGCGCCACATATCATGCCCAGGAGGTGCTGCCCTCTTATCGGCGAAAATTCGAACTAATGGAAATTCTATACTATGAATGCTTGATAATTTCAAAATTCAAAAAAAAAGTGTGCGAGTATCAAAAATTAAAGCAATTTTTTGAAAGTGGCCCTATCACAATCTAACCTGTAACAGCCTCTTCAAGGAAAAAGCCCTAAACCCAGCCGTTTTCGAGATACAGCCTCCCAGAGGTGCAATTTCGAGAATTGAATTTCAAACTATATTAGGAATAGGTGAAGGATGCAGTTAGGACGAAGGAGAGTAAGAGAGAGACAGAACTCATTCGTACTCTGGGATATTCGCATAGGGCCTCCTGGGCATGATATGTGGCGCCATCTCTGAGAGAACGAGTGAACTTTCTCGAATAAAATAATTCCGAATTCAATTTAAAAATCCCATCGTCGAAATTTCAATGAGTAAATCTTATTAAAGAATTCGCATTAGTTCGAATTTTCGCCGATAAGAGGGCAGCACCTCCTGGGCATGATATGTGGCGCCATCTCTGAGAGAACGAGTGAACTTTCTCCAATAAAATAATTCCGAAAGTAATTCGAAATTCAGCTGTATCACGCTGGTACAGATAAAACTGCGATAGGGCACTTTCAAAAAATCCCTTTACTTTTTGCAACATGCAGATGGAATGAAAGTAATAGCAGAGAAAATGCAGCATAGCCGAGAAGAGGTGTAGAAGCATAAGGTTGGAGGAGAAGGAGAAGGATGCTGTTAGGACGGAGGAGTGTAAGAGAGAGACAGAACTCATTCTTACTCTGGGATATTCGCATAGGGCAAAAGAATATCAACGTGTGTATGTGTTTAAAGATAATTTATTCAACAAATGCAATAATGATACAGTATACGAAGTACAGGTGTACATATATAGTCCGCGAAAGATTAGTAATATCAATGCCATTATAAATATATTAAAATATATCACTACAATATAATATACTTGTGGTATGTTACATGCGCTACCACTTTAAACTTTTCTTTTTCCAAAAGACATTTTAAAAACTTAGTTTTGAAGATTATACCAGGAGGAGAGTGATGGAGAATAGGAAAGAATAGGAGATTCAAAAAGTGTATAAGTGTTAGAAGATAATTTATTCGACAAATGCAATAATGATACAGTATACAAAGTACAGACATACATACAGACATACGAAGTACATAGTATACAAAGTGCAGTAATGCATACAGACATACACATACAGCCCGCGAAAGATTTGTAATAACTGTACCATTAAAGATATATTACATATATCACTATACAATGAAAAGTGAGAGGAAACAAAGCGAAACGAGAGAAAAGAAATGAAGATAGAAATAGAAAAGTGAAGAAGTAGAAAAGTAAAGAATAGAGTTATAAAAGTGGAAAAATAATGAGAAAATAGATAAATAAGAAAGTGAAGAATGAAAGATAAAGAAATAAGGAATTAATGAAGAAATAAATATAGAAGAAGAAGAAGGTTGGAAATGGATATAGAAATAAAGAAGTGAGAATAAGATAATAAAAGAGAAATGATATAAGTGAAAATAATAAAGTAATGAATATAGAAATAAAGAAGTTAAGAAGTAGAAAAGTAAGGAATATAAAAGTAGAGAAGAAATTAAGAAAGAGATAAATCAGAAAGTAAAGAATGACAGATAATGAAATATGAATGTAAAGAAGAAATAAATATAGAAAGAGAAGAATGTTGAAAGTGAATAAGAGTAACGATTCCAAGAGACCAGTATAGGAGACCGGCTCGAGGAAGAATGAGCGCTCGGAGTCCGGACGCTGCCTCCTGCGCTCAGCCCCACTCTCCGCCATCTCCCACTCCCAGAGTCCTGCCGCGACGAATTTGCCCGCATACAATTTTGGGCAACTTCCAGTAATTTCTAAATATGCTTGGCCTGAATTTCCGATTTCTGAGTGTTAATATTTTACTTTATTGATTAAATTAATTATTTTAATGTTACAAACACTTAATTTATTAACATTTCAATTTCAATGTAATTTATTTTCGATATTCTACAATTTCAATTCAAATTTTATCTACTCCGTACATTCTGCGAGATTTTTATTTGGCTTCAATTTTATATTTTGAATAAATTTTTAAAGTAAATCAAGATCCAATAATATTTAGTAAAAATTGAGGTGTTACACGGGTGTCAAGTGGCACTTTCTTAAAAATGTCTTAAAAATATTTCAACAATAAGCTTTTTCAATAATTCTTGAGAAGTTCTATATTTCCCGGTCCCGTTCTAAGAGTTGCTTTGTGAACCAGCGGTGGGTAGCGGAGAACCTCTGCCCGTCAAGCTACGCGTGCCTGTTCACGTTCAGCTCGACTACGACGGGATTTGCATTGTCGACGGAGGCGATGATCACAGAATCCTACTTCCAGACTTGCCGCTACGATTAAGCGGCATGATTTTGGTACCGCCGAAAACCGTAGCGTCGTACATCTCCCTGCTCATCTCTGCCGTAGCGTTGTGCATCTCCCTACTCATCTCTGCTCATCTGTTCTTTTATCTCATCTTTAATATTATTTCTTGAAGTTTGATTTCCCGCGCTTTCTAAAATGTCACCTGTTGAGTGTGTAAATTTCACAGTTTAGCCAGTTTAGCAAGATTTTTATAGTGTTTAAAGGATATGTGGCTGATAAGTCATGGATCCGAACGAGGTTGAGTTTTTGGGTGAGAAGCAACTGGTGAGCATTGTGCCGAACTTTAATTTTGATATGATACATTTAATCTCGGGATCTATTGGACCATTTCGTGCTGGTTTACCTGTTAAGATACCAATATGGTTAGCAATTAATTTAAAACAGCAACACAAGTGTCGTATCATAGGCCAAGAATGGATGGATGTAGAAGATTTAAAAAACATCAAAGAAGAGGAGAAAAAATCCAAGTATTAATTTCTTCTTTATTTTCTAAACATTCTCGTGAGAAAGTTATGTTTATAATAATATGATTGGGTCATTATACTTTTAGAGTTTTTACAAAAATGCCTAGTAATCACTATATGGATGAAGTTCACATGCTACTTGGTGCAGCTTCCGATGATATTCCTAATGCAGATGAGATAAGGACTGCGGTGAAGGTATATTTTAGAATTTTTCAGACACCGGTATGTTACGTTGTTGTCTATCTTATTTTAGGATATATGGGATATCAGAATGTCTAAATTGAGAACTTCTATTAACGCATTTTTAAAAAGTGAGGGAACACATGCAAAGCTAGATCATCTTACTGCAATGGAAATTAACAATGTCAGACCATTGCTTCCACATGCACTAGACCAAATGGTTCGATTACAACAGGTACTTTTGTTGGATACAGAAGATCAAAATTATTCTCCTTTTTATTAAACTGTAATAAATTATTTACTTTCTTTTTTTAGATAGGACAAGCATCAGCAACAGCAGATTCGAGGGAAGAATCTCAGAATATGAGCAGCATTTAGTGAAATCATAGCTAATTACCAGTGTTAAATTGCATTTTGTACATCCAGTTTTCAATATATTTTTTGAAACATTTAATTTCTTTTGCTTACAATCCAATGACCCTACTTATTCTTTCTTCTCCATCTGCTATTACGCATACAAAATTGTGAGTGATCATTAGGTTCAATAGTATCATAATACCAATTAAGGTTTATGACATTTTTATTATACTTTCTATTTTCACTTAAATTCATTACGTACAGTCACTAGCATCTCAATCACATTTTCTCCTTATTGCTTACAAAGAGGACTAAAGTGTATTTACATCGGCACAACTAAAGTTATAATCTAGGCATCCGTTCGATAATCGCATTTTTTCTTTTTTTTTCACAGTATTTACATCTTTAGAGTACATTAGAACAACTTTCAAATAATCTTTGATTTTAACCCTTATACATAACTTATTTGAAAATGCTTAGAACTACTCGTACTTTAAATAGGAGTACAAGCGAATTTCCAGTATGTAAACGTAGAGCATTAAGTACGTAGGGTTGGCAATATTAGGGCAATGATTCCTTTTGTAAAAAAAAAAAGAATTAGGTATACAGTGCAGGTAAGAATTTTAGCAGTTGATCAATTAATAATCCTGAGTATTAAAATACTATTATACACTCCACTAGTGGAACTTAACTTCAACTGAATAGTAGCACATGATTTGTTGCAGACAGATAGTTCAAAAGTAGCTAAATGCATATAGGAAATGTGAGACAAGAACCATAGTATAAAAAAGAAACGATGAGATGTATAATAACAATGTTTGGTATTATCAATAAATTACTATAACCAGAAAATAAATCAAATTGTAAAAAAGGAGTCGTGGAAGATTTGTTTTTCAAAACGCTTTCAACACAACAGTGCAAAGCTTTAAAATCTTAACTGACGTGATGTTTTGTTTCAACATTCTCCCATTATATATCACAAGGATATAAGTACCAGTAGTTAAAACATTTCAGATACATATAACTCCCAGTATCCTAACAAGTAATATGTACAAACCGTATATTTCAGGAATAAATCAATAGTAATCATTCTCCTGAACCACGAAAGTGCGAAACTAGTAGAAACTCGTTGCATAATGACGACCTTGGTAAATATTTATCATTCCAAATAAAACACGAAGCTCGGGGTGCTATATAAGCTAAGAAACGGCTTTCCACAATCCTCACTTTACTGACCTAATCCAGATCATTCCTCTTGTAATTGTTATTATCGTCCCAAGGAATTACAATGGTCGTGAAAAGTTAAACCGCAACAATTTTGCTGGGATCGACTTTGACCCTAATGAACATAGTGTCATCCTTGACGAAATGACGTTTTTTTACCATCTCGTGGGAGACAAATCTGGGAAACCCAAAACCTAGGGAATCTGGTTCACGGCTCGGCCTTTGGAAATTCTTCCATGTAGGGTCTGGTATAAAACTCTCGACGATGTTGCAAGCTTTCTCCGCAAGGACGGTTTGATCAAACATTGTGAAGGAGACGCTGTGTGAGAAGGGCCAACGGAGAAGAGCATCATATTCGCCCGGGAGGATTTTTATATATATAGAAATATGACTACCCTCTCCGGTTCCATTTCCATTGAGGAAGACGGATGCCTGTAACAATAGCCAAATAAGATTATTTACTCCGCAAATAGGCGGAAGAGGATATATTTCACTATGATATCGGAAGAGAAAATAATTACCTGTAGCTTGTATCCATATTGACTAGTGTAAAAAGGTGGGCTGACCAACTCCATGCCTTCCTTGGCTTTAGCCTCAGACATCTTTGCTGCGTAATCAGTGATCTTCCATATTAGAGTACCAGTGTAATTGAGTGATAATTTGCTGATTGCTGACTTCAGACTGGTTATTTGATGCTGTTGTTTAGTCACTACACTGCACATAAGACTCAGGTGCATTTTTGCTGATTCTTCAAGATGCTTGTCCAGTGAGAATCTATTACCCTATTATCAAAGCAAATCGAATTAGTTCAATAACAATACCTTGCCCTACTTCGAGCATCATCAATTTCTTTTTATAAATAATGCACACGTATTATGCATATTACCTTAAAGCGACAGCCAGCATCTTTAAAGGTACACGAAAGAAGATGCGTTGTGCAGTGATCCTTGAGATGAACTTCCAAATCTTCTCTTGGTAGTACTGCAGTCTCGCAACGATGTGGACACGCGACGGGGAAACGACCACATTTTGCATGATGTGCACCAAGTGTATCAAAGACAAATTCTTTATTACAATAGCGACAAGCTACTAATCTCTTAGCACATTCGCCTAATTTATGTTGACCTAAATGTCTCCTTTGAACTTTCATACCACATTTGTTTTCGCAGTATAGTGGTTCGTACCCACATGTTCCAGTATGTTTCTGCGAAGAAGAAAAGTAAGAAGAATACAGTTAATGTCAATCCGACACCATTATTCAGAGTTCATGCAAAGATATATTTTGATGATAATCACCTCAAGAGTATGACCAGTAAATTCTTTGGCGCAGAAATCGCATCGTGCCCTTCTCTGGGCACAAGTGTACTTAAGATGATCCTCCATGAGTACTCTTGGAATCATTGCACCGCATTTATTGCTACAGGGCACCGCATCGTGCTTGCAGGTATTGAGGTGAGCCTAAGAAAGGAGCAAAAAGAAGAATGCGTTATCATAATGCAGCCGCGAAACCTCAATATTTCAAAGAGGTTTCTAGTTATTTCTATGCGAAAACCGTTATTTAATAACAGCACTGACTGCAATAGGACATTGTCCACTGATTAAATAAAGGTCGAAGGTCATTATTTACCTTGAGCTTCCTAAGTTCATCTGACCACTTGCAACCGTCCTTATGATGAATGCAGTAAACAATGGATCCCATTATTGCCTTTTGTGCCTCCAAATCTTGGAAGTTCTGTGAACATATAGGAAAAAAATATAAATGAGTTAATCATAAACTTTCAAAGGAATGCACAGGAAGCATCCATCAGGCGCATAGGAAATTCGTGGAAGTAACAAGCATTCTACGATGACATCCCACTATCATTACATACTACATACCAATATTTATTCCACGAGTGATCCTCGATTTCGAGAATTACCGTAATTTCCATGTCGCTGTGTAGTCAAACGCACGTGGGCGTAACCCACGCAATTCTTTGAGTATTCGTAAACCATTGCTCTGCAGTATCCACCATATAAATGCCATACGAATATGACGTGTGGGCAGCGATTAATTAAGTAACAGGTAGTTAACGGTGAGACAGGTATCGGTGATAGCCAAACCGATCATTATAACAAGAACATAATAACCCATGATGAAAACCTTCATTTTTTTTTTAAATAACTATTAGGCCTTATGAAATTATCTAAAAAATCGCCTACGCACAATTTTTTGACAGTTTCTTCAAACTTTCTATATCCACAGCTGGGCTATGTTCTACAATATGAACTTTTGGTTGCCAGGAAGTATCGTATACCAGTCCAAGTTAATTATAAATTTCTATCGACACGATGTCCCTTCTTCTCGTGTACCAATGACATTTGGCAGAGCCTCCCCGACGTTCGGTAATAAAACATAAATTTACTTCCATGAAACGCAGCTTCTCCCAGCATTCTCCGTGGGTGATTATAGCTACACACATGGATGCCTGTGCAGTACATCGTTTCTGGTATAGAAATAGCAGAATGCAATAATGTACACTGGCCACAACGAAGCAGGCGACAGGACCACCACCTCGATACAGTGAGCAACGTGGGAGACGACGTGGTACGTGAAACTGAAGAATAATTTTGGTAGACATTTTTCCTATTACGACTCACGTACGTGATGTGTGTTTTCCAGAAAGTACATTTTCTAATGGAGATCAGCCATTGCCGAAGAAGGGAAAAGAAGTGTCGAAAGACGATATGTAAGAGATTGTGTAAACCGAATGAAATATCCACCGAAATACGTAAGAACTGACAGGTAACGATAACAATCAGTATTTCTAAATGAGTACTCTTACAAAAAAAAATAATAATAATAATAATGCTGCCTTGTAATTTTCAAAATTACTGTCTTATCATTGTAGATTTCTTCTTTACCCTCCGTTGACTCACGTTCCCCATGAGGGATCAGTGCCAGACTAATACGAATTTAACAGACGCATTGTTAAAAGGAAAGCGTTTTCAGAACCGTCATATTTTCACCAGACAGGCATATACCGGTACGTGCAAGCAGTAGCTTGACTTTTCTACGTTAAAGATACGAGAAGACTATACGGACAGGTAGGTGTGCTGGAACCTGTCTCTCTGGCAGCGGATGCAAGTTCGAACCTGCAGAACCTGCAAGGTCGAGGAACCTGACGCAAGCGGTTGTCGGTAAGATATGAACATGCCGAGATTTCATCCCGCTGAAGCCTTTACCAATTGTTATTTATGAGCCCCCCGAGTATAACGGCGGTGGAGAGACAATTTCTTACTTTTTTTTTCATATGTTTCTCTGTGTCAAAAAAAAAAAACAATACGCATCGGAGACCCTGAGATTATTTGACATAAACACAACGACGCCTTTGTCGGCCATCATTAATGTTTCAAGCCACACACACATGGGATCCAGGTGCCTACAGGGTAATTTGGAGCTTCTCAATTGGATTCACGATAAAGGACATGAATAATACAGTTTCTGCAGTAATCGTCGAGGCTTGCCATACAACACTGTATAGATATACAATAAATAATACTGACCGTGCCAGCTGCTGCAACAAAGGTTGTACCTTTTATCCACAGTGAAATCATTACCGGGTATCTCTATGGGCGAACAGAAATTAGATTTGGTTTCGTGTGTAATTCCCAATGAGAATTGCATACCGTTCATGCAATATTACACAGATCTACGTAAACAGACAACGATCACGGTTCCAACCGACAGTGGATTAACGGCCGAATAGCCAAATTTACATTAATTACCACAGAACCCCAAGGGGTGTACGAACTGAGTCAGATAAGAGTTGCTAACGAAAATCAATTTGCGTCAGCAGAGTGTAGGCTATAAGAAAAACGAATGCGTGATTTTCAAGCAGCCTCTTTAAGCTATTCGCGTTATAGCTTGTAGTTTAGGTGGGCTCCTCGTGACATCACCCATAGCCCGCGGCAGTCAGTTACAAGTCCCCCGTGACGTCACGACGAAATAACGGACACCATCTTCGCGTTCCACTTGTCTCCTCTTCTCATGGCGCACCGAAGAGTAACACCTCTTCCCTATGATGTCCCTGAGGCTACGGAGGCACTTGTCCGGAGAGAGGAGTCACGTCGAAAAATTGGCCAGTGCACTCAATTTGCATATTCCCAAAAGAGGAGATCACGTATGACGGGGACTGGGAGAATTTGCCAATATCCTTGGCTAAGGACGTTCCTGAGGTTATCGATCGTATTGGTATCGGGTAAGATTTGCAAGTTAGCACGTTGAACGTTATGCTAATGAGCCATGAATAAAACAAGGACGATCAGACATCCACGGGAATGAAACCAGTTTGACGTTTGAATATTGACGTAAACTATTTGTCCGTTACCAAGGCAGGATTGCCTATCGCTTGACTTACGAATTTATTATGTAACTCGGAACAATGTGACTAAAGGGGTTAATAGGGCTGAGTATAATAGGATAATTGTGTTAGATCGGCAAGAAGACAATCTCATCGAATTGGTGTCGTACGGTTTATCATATAGGCCTGTCTATCGATCGATTATTACATGATACTTCGTGATACCAGCTACACGGGGCTTACTGGACTGAACAGTTGAACACGCGAAGCCCATAATTCACTAAGGAACTGAAAGTCCATTCAAGAATTGTCATGTGCGACTGGGCTCTCTGTGAGCGACATGGCATTTTCACTAGCGTTAACAGTCTCTGGCCGTTGCGTAAGCTTCGAATGCCTGACGAGGCTACGTGTATCGATCTCGATAGAATTCTCGAAAGTTATAGAATACAGACATGCAATATAACTCAAAGTTCAAGACAGGCGTCGATCTTTCGTAGAATCAATGATAAATTTCAAATGTATACCAAATCTTTCACGGCGCCCGGGGATAATTTCAATTAATTAGACGCTTCCCGTGAGTACCCTAGCAGCGTGGAATGAGCGCACGGTAAAAAGAAAAAATTGCTACTATATATATATGGAACGATATTCAAGAGCGTAACGAATACGAGATCAGCCTGTAATCGCTACGCTGAAATCAAAGCATTTCGAACCGTTTTGCTTCGTGACCGTATAGCAACGTGCCGATCCCTTAGCTTCTAAACCAGAAAGATTGAAAACAAAAAGAGGCAATAAAGCGGGAGGATCGCGTGCGAAAGGAAGACTTCCTGTCTGTCCTGTGTTGCCAACCACGACAGCGCGATATTCGCCGAGTAAAAATTCGTCCGGAGTAAATAATCGGCAGAGAGAAAATCTCTCGAGAATCTACGGAGATAAAGATTCCCCGTTACATTCCCAAAATGACGCATCGATACTCCACATGGAAATCAAGTCGCCAATGTGAATTCCTCGAGATAAGAATTACTTTAGGAACGCACCGGCAGATCGCGTGCTACGAGAAAAGGAATCCCCAGGAATATCGTTACCGCCAAGTCTGCCCGATGTAAACTGATAAAAATATCCCCTCAATTAATGAAAGTAATACATAAAATTACAAAGACAACGAATCAACGATCAAAGGGTTATTTCTGCAGGAATGCGTCTAGCAACGTGTGCAGTCATTTCCGGTAATGGTGATTGCCCTCATGGGAAGCTCATACCGTGAGGATACAGTCTCCGAAGAATGGAATGGAAGCAAGGAGGAACCCCCCTCCCTCCCTCCCCCCCCCCCCAACG